GATATTTACGCCGCAGAGCAAGAAAGGCACGGCAAGCGAACCTGATCTCTCTGATAGGTCGCTCATTCTCCAAAAAGTGGAAAAATCACCGGCCTCCGATCCCAAGGTCAGGTTTTAGCACTACCTTAAGTTGATCAAGCCCCTTTTAGATAATCAATCGCCAACAACAACATCGGGCATAACCATACACCGCTTATATGGAATCGGCCGAAAGCCTAACTTCACAGTAAATCAGCCGGTACGCCTTCTCAAAGTCGTACTAAACTCCAAAGAAGAGAGGGATGCTATCCTAAGCAACTCCCAAATTCCCAAAGGATCATTCGTATACATCAGTGTGGACTTATGCCTGACACACCGCGTCGAAAGGTAGTTTTCGGGTCTGGAACTAGGCGAACGACACCGAAAAGGCGAAAAAGCATTAAGACAAAGGGTTTCGGGTTGTCCGAGTTCGAAGTCTGATGGTCCCGAAACCTCTGTGGGTGTGCCGTGGAAGCACCAAACCGAATGGACAGTTTGCTACACAAACGCCCACAGCCTGTTGAACAAACAGACTGAGCTGAGTAATATGAAAGACTCCGGAAACCCTGATGTAATTATCATCACAGAGACATAGCTCACACCCGGTGTCACTGATAATGAAGCTTACCTGTCACACTTCGAAGTGCATAGGGTGGACCAACTAGGCGGCAAAGGAGGTGGCGTAGTCATCTACTAGCTGTGCGTAGTATCGAAGCACTCGCTCACGAAAGTGAATCGTGCGAACTTCTACTCTGCAGACTTAAATGCATAGGCCAAGATATTGACCTCACTGCTATATACCGCAGTCCTGACTGCAGTGCAGATGACTTCCTAGTAGAGAAGCTAGGCTCCTGGACATCGAAATGTCTGAGTTTCATAGTCGGAGACTTCAACACCCCAATAGTTGATTGGACAAGCCTTATAACGCCATCTCCAGACAATTCTTTTGATCATAAATTGCTGGAATGTAATATTTCGCTAGCCCCAGTCCGACATGTCGTTAAGCCCACGCGCTATGACTCACAGCACTCCTCTTAAACTTTGGACCCAGTGTTCTCCCACGGTAGGGATGTGGGTCTCGTACAACATTTCCCCCTTCAGGAAGAAGTGATCATACCGTGCTCATTTTCAAGTTTAGAGCAGCAGCAGCAAGGGCCAAAACCCCAGCTCGACCAAACGTTTGGAAAGCTGACATAAATGTGATCGTTTCAGCAGCCAACTCACTAAACTGGTACATCAACCCAGAGTCCCAAGTAGAAACCGCATGGAACCAATTTAAACAACTTTAGGCCTAATTAACTTAACCTTTCATTCTTCGTTCTGTCCCAAAGTAACCCAGATGTAAACACAGATGCTGGTACCCGTATGTCAAGCTTGTGACTCCTGAGACTAGGAAATTATATAACACTGCTAGAAATGAAACTATTACTGAAATCCGCCAATCCAGGATGAAGTTGAAAGCACACCTGGGTCAGAATGCAGAGGCACAACCAAAGAAAATTTTCTCGTACATGAACTTCAGGAATAGAACATCCAATGGTGTCCCGAACCTGACTGTTGACAATGACACAACCGAAGAAAATCAAGAAGAGGGAGACTCAATGGCAGACTACTTCTCGCAAGTGTTTACACAGGAGTCATTACTCCCAATAGGACAGCCTTGCCTGCATCAGAGGAACACGGGTTAGATTCCGTTGACATCCCTCAGGGCATTATGCTCAACTGCGTCGGTGGCACAGTGGTTAGGACTCTCGCCGACCATGCACATGGTCCGGGGTTCGATCCCCTGCCGGCGCACACCCGATATCTATGGTCGGCCTGAATTTGGGCTACCGATATCCATGCTGAAAATTCCACACTTGTACTGAAAATACGGTGTGGAATCAAGCTGTAAATAAAAATATAAAAATATAAAAATATAAAAAAAAACTGCCTGATGAAACTAGATGCATGGAAATCAATGAGTCCTGGTGCTCTTCATCCAAGGCTTCCCATGTAGCTATCAGCTCACACAGCCGACCCTTTGACCACTATCTTCAAGCTATCTCCCCTAAATGGAGTGTTACCGCGTGACTAGAATGACGCCATAGTAACCCCCATCAACAAAGGAGGATCAAGACAAAGCCCTTCAAATTACAGGCCTATCAGTCTCATCAGCACTTTAATCAAGACACTGGAAAGAATCATCAAGAAAAGCATCATGGCATATCTAGAAAATAGAAGCTTATTATCCAGAGCACGGCATGGTTTCCGAGGAAACCTCTTATGCCTGTCAAATTTCCCCACTGCGAGAGCAAGCTGGGACAAATCAAGGGACAACAGAAGACCCGTTGACGTCGTCTTCATAGACTTCAGCAAAGCCTTTCATGAAATTCCTCACAAGAGACTACTCGTGAAGCTGGAAGGTCTTGATATCAAAGGCAGGTGACTAAACTGGCTCGGGGAATTCCTCATAGATAGAGGGTTGGATCAACTCGAAACTCTCCTCCTGGACAGCGGTGCGTAGTGGAGTGCCACGAGGCATGGTACTCATACCTCTTCTATTTATTTTGTATATCAATGAGTTATCTCTGCTCACCGATACCCTCACGGTCCTTTACGCAGATGACTTAAAAATTTGTAGAGCTGAAGGTCAACAGTTATACGTCCACGTTGCATGAGGACGTCAACAAATTGTCAGAGTGGTTCAGAGGCTGGATGCTCCCGATCAGTGTAGGAAAATGTGCAACCATGCACATCGGACAAGCAAGCACCAGCTCCTACGAAATAAAGGGAACAAAACTCCCATCAGTTCAGACTCATTAGGATTTAGGTGTCATAGTAAGTCACAATTTAAAAACTGTCTTACGGTGGCTGCACGTAGTTTCAGATCTTTACATCTCTAGTGACGTTGAGACTGGAAAACTGTATCCAGGCAGCCAGTCCATGTCTTAAAGGGGACTCACATATTCTAGAAAGGGTTCAAAGGCAATCAGCACGTATGACTAACATCATACGAGGAGGGACTGGACAGTTTAAATCTCTTCTCCCTATCATACCGTAGGCAGAGAGGAGATTTAATCACAATGTTTAAAATTTTTAAATAATGACTACGGACCTGACCTATTCTCTCTTTTCCTTCCTACCATGTAGAAACACCTCAGAGGACATAGCAGTTTAAAAGCCAAGAAGAAACCACACTCCTGTTGAGTACTGATTGCCGCACCGAGTCATAAACTCTTGGAACCGACTCTCAACCTCAACTGGTTCAATCATGAAGGGTTTGGGAAAGCCTAGAAATTTACTGAAAAAGGATTAACGTAGGGGCGAAGTACAAGAATAGCATCCCAGGAGCGCGAACGTTCAAATGACCTTGAAAGCTTGCCAGTCGTTGGTTGAGGAAACTTACCGTTATTCTAGCGTGAAGATGAACAGTGTTCATAGTCTTAAAACCCTCTATCCTCAACCAATAAATAAATCTGAAACAATTTCTTCTTAACCTGGTGGATATTTATGGGCATTCATCTACTATCTCTCACACTGCTCTGAAGAATCCATGTGTTTGGGGGAGGCATTTAGCTCCACAAATACTAGTCCTCGACATCTGAAAGATGCAGATGCTACAAGCAGATATGAAGTTTACTTCACAGAATTTTCCTATGATATGAGACAAAATAGTGGGTATAGTTGAGATAGCAGTAGTTCAGGCAACTTAAGGAAGTCAATAGGTTAGGTTGAATAGTTTACCTTGCTGAGATGAATGCAAGATTAGACGTGAAAATTTGGCACAGCCGGTCACTGTGGCGTGCATTTGGAATAAAGTTTGAATGGTTAAACTACGACGTCCATTTGATTCATGTCGTAACTGAACGATTACCTGAACCATGTAGATAGGAGATGTAAATAAAAATTTGATGATACCGCCTTAAGTCTAACAATACGACATCCAACAGTTGACAGGTGTGTATGAGACAATGTGTTTCGTGCGTTCTTTGTATAACAGTTCTGTTAAATTTCACCTTTAATTTAATTTTTCCATCATCCTTAAACTTGATTGCTTTCTCTTCCTGTGAATTCATAAGCACATTAAGTCGAATCCTGGCCGCACATTGTCAGAAGTTCTGCTTGAGACTCATTCTCCGGAATATCAGTTGAATATGGGACGTATATATTTGGAAATTAAATGCGCAAATTTTCAGTCAGCAATTGCCATTACCACTGAAAATATTACTTCACCTTCAGAAGTCTTTAAGCATTCATGCGCGACTAGCCGAGCAGTATCAAAGATTGAAACGAGTTGAAAATGTACCTGACTAATTAGATATCTTAGTTACATGAAAGCAACCTTCCGACTCTCAAATTTCATTGAGTTGTTAGTATTTCCTGGAAAAAGCAACCAACATGAATAAAAGGGTCGTACTTTAAAAACGTATGGGTTATATTTGGAGCTGCGAAAAGTAAGCTTGATAATCAGATGAGAAAACAATTCACCTGTTCACCTTAACAATATGCAAAAACTGGCTAGCCAAATCATTCACATTCCATTTGCGCATATGTTCAGGCGTACCTAACTTTATCCTAGATTGTTATAAGCCACCTGAAGTCCTGCAGTATTCAGTACCTTATAAACCATGCCTTCTAACATTGTGTTTCCTAGAGTCAACAGGGATGTTGGAGATCTTTCGTAGCCCACCTGTAAGCTTTTCTCATAGGTTCTTCGTCTCCCACAGTGCGGTTCACATGGGATGGCATTTTCCTCCTGGTACTGTTGCAAGAAAGGCAGTTAACATGAATAATGAGAATATGACGATGACACTTTGCTGACCCATGTGTTTTTAATTACCACGTAATTTGCTGGATAAGATTCAACGTAAAAACTAGGAGTAGTAAACAATGGGCATAAAGTCATTTATTGCCTCAATTCATATTAGAAATTAGCCAAAAATGAGGATAAATAGCGGAAAATTTACCCTTAATCCTTAAAAGAAGTAAAAACGGCTTACCAGGTGTGTCATCTGTCTTCCTGTCCTTCAGGCGAGTACCCATAGGATATGCAGGTATGCCAGGAAAAACAATTCGTTTAGCTGGTTGGATATCATAGTCAGCTGGACCTGGTCCTTGACCAAATTTCAGAGGTTTCTGTATGCCAGTTATGGTATACTTCGGAGAATAGGCTTCACCGGTGTTGGTTAGTTTAGAGTTTTGAGCATATGCAGCTGGCCCCGGACTTCTTTCGAAAGTAATTTCCTCCAGTGGCTTAGCTAGGCTATAGGCAGGGGCTTTTGGATGGGTGCTGCGCATGTCATGATTTTTTTCTCCAATGAGTGTAGGCAACATGTATATGGGTCCTGGACTTGCATACATAGCACCAATAGGAGCACGAGGTTTAGTGTATTTATAACCCAAATCTGTCATGATCAAATCCTCAACGAAATCTGGTAAATGATTCCAACTCAGAACTAAAAATGAAATAGTTTAAAGAAGTTAATCGATTGATCTAAAAATTTTGAATCGTCTAATCAATAGATCAGCTAATTTAGATTTCAAGGTCATCATGGGCGAAAGCTTGCCTGTTCTGTTTGGACAAATTTTGGCGAAGTATTCAGATGTTTCACTCTGTAGTGGATCGCATACGGAGACGAAATTCAAGGTAAAGGTCATTTTCTTATTTTCGTCCCAAGGAATCAATTGAGATTGCCTGTCAACTGTGTGAAAAGGCGATGGAGATGGTAAATGAGTTGCGTTTGTTCAGTAGCAATGAAAGCCTCGATGATTTAAGTGCTACAGAAATAAGGTACATATTAAGTGAGCTTTCTCGTCATTTGCGTACAGGTACTTGTGTCTTCCTGCTCTGCTAGCATATTTCAATACTCATAAAAGTGAGAATCGGGGATGTTGTCTTCGTTTGGCTTTGGTATGATACATTAATCCTGATTCGTTTGCGCTAGTCCCTTTACAAGGACTTCTCAAATATGTGCACAGAATACAGCGTTCCGTTTCCAGAGGAACTGTGCCTGAAAGAGTAAGTTTTTACAATATTCTAAACTGTATAAAAGTGGGATTTATTTTAGTACGTCATTAAGTTCCTTTTTGTAATAATTTCTGACTCACATTTACTCTTAGTGAGATTCTCTTAAACATCACGCATGTATTTATCCGTTTATAATGTTGGCTTAAGTTCTGTCTCTGTTATCGACATAGAACTTTGCACCGATGTGCAGCAGTCCAAGTCGTCACACTCCATGTAGCATACAAAGGAAGAGAAGAAATGCATAAGAGAGACAAAAGGAGTAATAATAACGAAGAACAATATAGTTTTATTGGGTATTATAAGTTAAAGAGTGGATGCATCAACCACTGAGAACGATTTTGAGCCATATCACTGATTGTCTCCAGACTTCATTGGTGTTTATCGTTCTGAGGACCCCAACCAGGAAGTCTACACCTTCCTACGTGGCTTCAACTATCTGTTGTGGATTTCATTGACTGGTGCCATGTTTTCGTTTGACCGCCACTAGCTCTTTTCCAGCCTGGCCCAATATCAGCTAACATTGCCCATTGTCGAGGAAGGCGATGACTAGGCTTACGTAACACATGTCCTAACTATCTCAGCCGAAGTAATTTCACATCATCGTCGATTGATTTCCCCGCCTTACCTAGCACTCGACGCCTAACCTCAATATTGCTCACCTTATTACGCCACTTCACACGGGAGATAGAACGCAGGCACCTATGATCAAAGACAGCTAGTCTTTTCATGTCTTCCACTCTCAATGGCCAGGTCTCATTCACAGCCAATAAGGAGGACGGAGCGGACTGATGAGCAATACACCTGCCCTTTGGTCGATAGCCGAATATCACATCTACTAAGCCAGAGACGGCGTAAACTGACATATGTGAAACTAGCCCTCTGTATTCGTGCTGAGATTTCGTCAGAGATCAACCCGTTGGGGCTGATGCAACTTTCCAAATAAGTGAAGCGGTCAACGTAGCTTAAGTTACAAACGAGATACATTTCATTTTCGGACATATTATAACCCTCTATTTCCAATGTCTGAAATCAGCCTGGCTTTCATTGTCTCATATCTCAAAGGTTCCTAAAGTCAAGTTGTTCACTGTATTATGTAGTCTAATCTGAACATTGTGAACACGATGTGTACATTGCTAACATGAGCCTGATTCATTGGTAATGTGTACAATTCATGCTTCTGTAACCATTTTTCTCAGGTCACTCCACCTATTGTTGTTGTTGAATTGCAGTCTATCTGTTTGCCTCTTTACCTCATTTGAATCATGGAGACCCACTGCAGGTATCGCCTTTGTCATTAGTACTGCTTAGACTGATATGAATTTATATGTGGCAAAATGTTTATAATTTACATTTTAACTTTTTTTTAAAGTAATCAAAATGGCGATAATTGTTCAATGACACAACTTGCACGCAAACGAGAAATCAAAATCAAACGTTATAAACTTAAAAAATCGTTGGAAGAACGTTTGGAAAAACTTGTGACTTATGTGGATCAACCCCACGTAGATGAAGAAACGAAGGTATGCTAATTTTACTCTATTTCAAATAGTCCCTTTTTCACATTTGATGATTAGAGTGTCCAAACACTGCGATAAAATTCAATCCCAATTAAATAAAATTCCGTATTAACCAGAAGCATAAACAAGCAAATCAACGTTTGTATTTGTGAGGTATCTAATTGCGAAAGTTATGTGTAGGTATTTGTTTTTCGATCGTTCATGTACATTTTCAGAAGTCATTTCACTTCTGTCTGTATTATTATTATTACTATTGTTTCCTTTAATTCCTAGAGGAACATAAGGCTTCAGCCGTGCATCTCCATTGCATCCGGTTCTCTGCTAGAGTCTTCACCTGGCTCCAAGTCTGCCCACACGTTTTCATCTCCTCTTCACATGACCTCCTCCAAGTCACCCTTGCACTGACGACCAACTTGCCACTTCCCTCGAGGGTTTGTCTAGTGATGTCACTTGATGGTTTCCTCAGAGTATGGCCAATCCACCTCCATTTCTTCCTGCCTAATTGTTTCACAATCGGTTCCTGCTGGGTTGGTTCACTCCCAGAGTTTTCTGTAGCTGATCTTTTCTGGCCGGCCATCTGGTCTTGAGTATTGAGCGAAGACAACTGTTAATGAAGGTCTGTAGTTTGTTTGAGATGCTCTTTATGACGCGCTAAGTCTGTTTGTATGACTTTATAGTTTTGGTATTAATAGTATTAGTAATATGTACAATGAATGTCTCCAACAGTTTTCTATGAATTTTCGGTTCGTTTTGACCTCTGAAACACGTCGAATTTAATGTCTACATGCATATTCCTTAACCGTTTAAGTGCTTATTTAGGAGGGTTAATAATAGTACCCAGTTGTGCAGGCTGAAATAGGTGGGGTGGGACTTGGAGCGAAGACGCTTACGCTGGAGATCCAATTCTCTGCATGAGGAGAAAAGATCAGACAACCAATTTACTCTTGCTTTTAAGTGTAATACGCATAGATTCATTCCGACTTTTACAAGTGGGTAGTTACAAGTTGCCTCGTTATCTCTGTCCCTATCTCAATCTCCATTAATTTCTGCCACCATGACACCAATTTCTCTTGATTCAGTGGTTTTAACTAACGACTTAAGCCGGCAAAATACCAATTTTAGTCTGCCTACTTCAAATTGGATCTTTTTTGTCTATGAATGTGTTTCTTCATTGAAACGTGCATTTACGACTTAGACGTAATGATTCACCTAATTTCACCGAGCCAATTTAGTGGATGTTCATATACCACCCTACGATTATCCGCAGATTCTGTAGCTCGTTGCTTTGAACATTTTGATATGTAAACAACCCCATGCTATTTAGCAGAAAGTTTGCTACTCCACTTAACAGTCGCCTTTAGATGGATCTTTAAGAGCAATAATGGTCATGCATACATGAAGTCTTCTTGCACATCTCCTGACTGCATACTTGACAAAGTGAAGGATGTGCTCTGTCAGATGTCTGATTCGCTGCAAATCGTTAAACATGGCACATGGCTTTAATGCTCTAGATAGATATTTGAGAATGTGAGTAGAGCGTGTTCAAGTCCAGAGATTTCCTATAGTTTTTTTCAGATAGTCACTTATATCTGGATGGCACTAATTTGGGACATGGTGGTATAGTCTCATTTATCAACTGCTGATATTAAGGCAGTAATGTTATTTATTATTGTCTCTTTTAGTTCCTAGAGGAACCTAGGGCTTCAGCAGCACGTTCTCCGCCAACGTTTTCACCTGGCTCATCTTTCATCTTCTCTTCGCATGACCTCCACCATGTTACCCTGGGAAGACTAACTTGCCGAGGGCAATAATAGATGGAGATAAATTATTTCCACGGAAATAATTAATAAAGGAGGGACCTATTCCTGAATCACCTACATGTTCTCCAGCTGGGTGGAGGTTCATGTATGTGTGTATAAGAATAGTCGCAAATCCTTTACACCAAATTCTTATTTAATGGGTTAACGGAATAGTCATGTGAACATGATAGGAAGGGGTGTTTTAAAGAGGTGTAGCAATATAGCCAGTCTTCTATTGGTACAGTAGTTGCCATCTGAATTAATAACAACCAGTGGTGTCCGTCATGGATGTCCACTTTCCCCATTCCTGTTTAACTTCATCATAGATATGCTAATGGAAGTATCCTTAACTGAACTTAACCACTTAGGAATCGACTTGTTACCAGGGAATAGTCTTATGGACTTTGAATATGCAGATGACATAGTCCTGTTAGGGGAGGATGCTGACAAAATGCAGAGTCTTCTGAACACCTTGAGCAGCAATCTTCGTATGTTTGGCATGCGATTCGCCCCTGTAAAATGTAAGATGATGCTACAGGACTGGACTACGTCAACTCCTAGCTTGATAGGGAGTGAATTGATAGGACATGTTGACCACTTCACCTATTTGGGAAGTTGTATCAGCACCAACGGATTGATTAGTGACGAAATCTCAGCACGGATCCAAAAAGCTCGAGCTGCTTTCGCTAACCGTCTCTGGCGTAGGCGTGACATCCGGCTATCAACCAAGGGACGTGTGTACTGCTCAGCAGTTCTCTCCGTGCTTCTCTATGGCGGTGAGACGTGGCCATTGAGAGCGGAAGACATGAAGAGATTGTCTGTTTTTGACCACAGATGTTTACGATCTCTTTCTCACATTAGGTGGCATAATAAGGTAAGTAATGTTGACGTTAGGCGTAGAGTGTTGGGCAAAGAGGGAAAATCAATCGAAGAGGCTATAAAGTTACATAGATTGAGATGGCTAGGTCACGTGCTGCTCATGCCTAACCATCGCCTCCCCCAACGGGCATTACTAGCTGATATATAGGTGCAGGTTGGAAAAGAGTAAGTGGTGGCCAAACAAAAACATGGCCTCATCAATCCATGAAATCCCTGACAGTTGAACTGAGTCAAGTAGGGAGATGCACACTTCCGGGTTGGGGCCCTCGGGACTCTAAGAATCACTGGCTGGAGACAATAGGTGACATGGCTCAAAATCGTTGTCAATGGCTTACGCAGATGTATTCAGTCTCTGTAATCTTTCATATTCCTTTCTACCATTAGTCATTCTGTTTCACTCTTATACTTGTCAAAACTCGATTGATTCTCTTCACTCATTTTCTTGTCTACCTTTGTGTGCTATGTGTAACATGGCAACTCGAACTGTTGCACTTCGGTGCCAAGTTCTATGTTGAATCCAGACAGACAGACCTTTCCAACCTCATCCTGAGTCGACTAACATTTGTCGATCGATGTAGCTTCACAACTTTATTGGTTGTCGTACCCTCCCGTAATATTCAACGCCTAACCTCAGTATTATTCACCGTATTATATCACCTAAAACGGCAGACAGAGCACAAACATCTATGATCAAAGCTCACCAGGCCTTTCATCCCTTCCACTTTCAATGGCCATGTTTCACAGCCAGCCATAAAGGAAAACGGAGCGAACTGCTGAGCACTATAAACGCCCTTTCGTCAAATGCCGGATATCACGTCTGTGCCAGAGACGGCGTAAACTGGTATATGCGAAACTAGCTTTCTGTATCCATGCTGAGACTTTATCAGAAATTGGTCCCCTGGGGCTGATGCAATTTCCCAAATAAGTAAAGTGGTCAAAACGCTCCACCACCTCACTCCCTATCTCTAATTTAGGAGTCAATGTAGTCTCATGCCAAACATTCGAAGATTGCAACTCAAGGTGTCCAGAAGACTCCGCATTTTGTCAGCGTCTTCACTTAGAAGGACTATATCATATGCATATTGTAAGTCAACGAAATTATTCCCTGGTAACAAGTCAATCCCTCAGTCGCTTAGGGTTAAGTCCATTAGTACATCTATGATGAAACTGAATAGAAATGGGATAGTGGGCACCTCTGATGGACACCATTTGCTGTCACTACTTCAGATGACAACTTGCCATAACCTGTCATCTGGCTGCATGAGTTCAAGTGGAGTGCCTTGATCAGTGCAATGTATTTTCGCGGCATTTCCTTTACAGCCAAGCATCGCCATAGTACCTCTCGTTCGACAGAATGAAATGCCGCCTTTAGGTCAAAAATCTGAGGATTGTTGGATGCCGGTAAGAATGCGTATGTTCCAGAATTTGTCGAAGGGTGAATATATCAATACACCCTCTTCCTGGTCTAAAGCCTGCTTGTTTCTCTCATGTTTTTTCCTCCCGTGGACCGCTTAGTTCACACATGATTATTGAGCCTAGAACTTTAGATGCCATATTAGTTAAACTAATCCCCCTGTGATTATCACAGAAGGACTTATCTCTCTTCTTGTATATCGAGATAATCATTGACTTAGACCAGCCTGACGGGACTGTCTCTGGTTCCCAAACGCTGACTAATACCTTAATTAACGCAGACAATAAACTGTCTCCACCACCCTTGAACACCTCTGCAGTCATTTCAACACGTCCCACTGCTTTCCCTCGTTTCAGACTAGTGACAGCCGTAGTAACTTCAGTTAGGAGCGGAGGACCGGTGCTTATATCCCATTCAGGGAGGTGTTGGATGATCGGCAAGTTGAGAGTGGCTGTAGGCCGGTTAAATTGATCCTCAAATTGTTCTTTCCAACGTTCTAGTCGTCTGTCCTTAGAGCTAATTATGGTGCCATTTTTCTCGGAGATTGTTTCACTTACCTTTTACCACCTGTTTCCCCGATAAGTCTAAATATTTGTTAGTCTTTTGCCCCTCTTTCGCTTTTGTCGCCCACCACTTCATGGCTGTTGCGAAAACTTGTTTTCGTTTGAGCAGCTTTCGGTCCTCATCATTTTCGGAGTTCGCCGGAATCAGTCTTCTTGAGTTAATCAGTTCGGATAAGGTAGTATAAATCCAATGGCTCTTACTAACTTCTGGTTTTATGTTATTAACAGCTTTTACAGCTGTGTCTACAGCTAACTATATGTTGTACCACACTTCTTCAGAAGTCTTGCTATCGACCTCAGATACTCCGTTTGCTATTTTTTCCTTAAATAGGGACTCAGTGTCTCGATCTAGTCGGAGACATAACTGTTTCGCTGCCATCAATTTCTTATGTCCGTTAAGTCGTAAGCATAGACGTGCGCAAAACAGGGTGTGATTGGAGTCTACGTATGTGTTCCAGTAAGAGCGGTAGTCTTCTACTGGCCCTTGCCAACGATAGCCTATCGCTATGTGGTCTGTTTGAGTCCAACGTATATTTGGTGATGGAGGTTGCCAGGTTAATTAATGTCTGTCTTTTTGCCTAAGGTTAAGGCTGACTAGAAACAGATGATTATCTGAAAAGAACTGTAGAAGACGATCACCGTTGTCGGTTCGTCGGCCAGAAACCCCGTAGGTACCAGTCTGGCATAACTCCCCTACTTGGGCATTAAAGTCGCCTGCTAAAACAATTATATCTGAGTGTTTTGTTTTTTGCAGCAAACTAGACAGTTTCTGATAGAAATCATCTTGCCTAGGTCAAGTTGGAAAAGAGGTAGTGGTAGTCAAGCCAAAACTTGGAATCAGTCCCTGAAATTTCCAACGTTTGGTTTAATTCAGACACACAGGAAGGTGTAGACTGTCTGGTTAGTTAGTTGGGGTCCTCTGGATTCTAAGAACCAATGCCTGGAGACAACTGGTGATATAGCTCAAAATTCTTGTTATGAATGGCGCTGATGCATTAATTCTTTGTGATATGCTATTGTTACTATTCTGTTATGGTGCTTGTGAATTTCTCTTTTCTCATCTTCCTTTATTGTATACATGGAGTGTGATAACTCAAAACTGGTGCACTTCTGTGCTACGTTCCATGTTGAAACCAGTCAGTCATTCGTAGTCGCACACGAGATTACTGAGCTGTATGTAGATCTTGTCCAATAATTTATGGAGTATTTATGACTTAGTGACTGACTAGGTTTCAACGTGGAACTTTGCACCGATGTGCAGCAGTCCAACTTTCCACTCTCCATTTACCATACAAAGCAAGAGAAGAGAGTAAAAAGATATTCAAAACAGAGATATGATGCAAAACGAATAGCAACATGGAAGAACAATCGAATTTTATTGGATATTATAAATCACAAAGAGTGAATGCATCTGCATCATTGGGAACGATTTGGAGTCATATCACCAGTCTTCATTGCTACTCAACCTTACCAGTGTGAGGACCCCAACCAACCAGGAGTATACGCCTTCCTACGTGACTGACCCAAAGTAACTGTTGTGGATTTCATCAGCTGATGAAGCCATGTTCTGGTTTAACCACCACTAGCTTTCTCTTTTCTAACCTGATCCTATGTCGACTAACACTGACCGTCAAGGGAGACGGTCAATGGTTAGACATGCATGCGTAACACATGTCCTAACCGTCTCAATTCAGGTAGCTAATTTCATATCCTCGTTGATTGATCTCTCCTCCTTACCTAGCATTCGACCGATGCCTAACCTCAATATTGCTCACATTATTGCACCACTTAACACGAAAGAGAACGCGGGCACCGAAGATCAGAGGCAGCTAGCCAGTCTTTTCATGTCTTCCTCTTTCAATGGCCAGGTCTCACAGCCAGCCATAAAGGAAGACGTAGTATTTCTTCCCCCTCCCTCGATTTTTGGTTCATTCATAAAATATACATTTTTTTTCAAATGTTTGACACTACTGCTCACCTTTTGTTTCTTCAATTTTCACTTACTTTGTTTGTTTTTGTTTGGTTTTGCTTGTAGCGTGAGTTTAATTTAACTCTTGTTCAAAAGTGGTTATGTATTGCTCAAGATGAAATGATTAGTTTACAGAGTGAATTAGATCTACTTTCAAAAGGTGATAAAGATGATGATGATAATGAAGAAACCAGCAAAAGCAGTGGAACTAGAAAACCTTTTCGACCGTTTATTTTAACTCGTTCAGCTGTACAAGCAGCTGTATTCGGTGCAGGTTATCCAAGTCTACCGACAATGACGATTGAAGAGTTTTATGAACAACAAGTTAGTTGAATTTATCCTATTTCTGTTTGCATTTATGTGTTTTTACTTGACTGATAAAAACTCTGTGACGCTAAACTTCTAACCTCAATTCCGTCACAGGGTCGAACCCCTCTCCTCCTCTTACTGTAGTTTTTGTGCAGTCAGGTAACATCACTGTCGCTGCCTGGGAATTCAAAGTGATTATGTATAATTATTTTATGATTCATACTCTATTTGAGATGTTGAGTACAATTTTTGAGGTGTCAACACGAATTTGTGCCTGAACTTCAAACCTTCCTGTGAATACCCGACCGAAAGCTGCTACCTTGACGTAGTGGTCGGGCTTGAACACCGCAATGACCCAACAAGCTATACTGGCTGAGACTTATATCGCTTGAGGTCCTACCATGCTAGAAAGGTTGTTTGGATAGCGGTTAGACAAAAAGCAGTTACCCAATCCATTGCTATGACTCAAACAAAATCACAAAATATCATGCCGGATCGGTCGCGGCCCGAATTAACAACGACCGCGCTTCCTACTACCGTGTCACAGGGTAGAAGTGATAAATATGCTACTGAGACACACCAAATGGAAAAGGACAAACAAAAACAGGCCGCATGTGACCGGCCTCAAGCGGTTGTCCCCTGGGCTCTGCGGTCACGCAACCAACTTCCACGGTGTGGGCAACCGGGAAGTAACAATCGCCCTCACAATCCAAAATGCACTCATATGAATAAGCCATTGAACCATTTAACTTCAATAAGACTATTTATTCTGTTATGTTCAAGTTATTTCATATTTCCCCTTGATTGGTTGATTGATTTTTGTCGGATGTTGTCAGGAGGTTGTTAACGTGATGTTAGTTTTCGCTAATGATGGAATCCAAGCTTCTCCAAGTTCCACCCTATTTCAGAGTCTTCAGTTCAGCGTATGGGTATCTCCAGTGATTAAATGAACGGTGTTCACACTGAATACCATTTTTCTTCGTGTAAAACCAGCTGACAAGTCCCATTTTCATACAATATTAAGAACAAATGAGTCAGCAGTAAGGAGATCCCCTCTTCTCGTAATTTCACTTCAAGCATGTACAGTTATTCGGCGAGGGGGGGGGTTGTTTGTATATGCAGCATAGATTGACAACAGAGGTCTAAGGTTGTTGCCATTTAGTAACAAAGTAAATCAAAATGCATGAGTAATAATTATGTTTCAAAAAATTACGAATAGTCTTACATAGGCAAGAAGGTTGACAACTGATTAGTTGAATGATGGAGGAATAATCATTTGGAAATGGGTTGATATTGGAGACAAGAACAAGGATTGAATATGAATTACGAAAAACATAAAACGGACTGACTTCACAGAGCTTATTATACAATTAGTTGGTTATTCAGGAAGAAAAACGTGAAAAATGGTATTTAGGCCTTGGTAGTAAAAGAGGCAGGATGAAACATTCCTGAACACAGAGTTCAGGTTTCTCCATAAGGATCGCCAAGACTTTGGCTGCATGAAGATTTAGGCGAAATTCTTTTGAATGACTTGACCTTACTTTATATATATATGACTCTGAAAGAAGTCTGTGCTGATGTTGCATGTCGAGAAGTAATAAAGTGCTCCAGAGTTGAGTTTGTTGACTATTGTCCTACGTTCTTCTTTTTGATAACTATTCTGGAAGGTGTGTATGGGCAAGTCTAGACAATGTTCTACCCGTTACAGTCTGTATACTTAGATTCACAGGAACAGGAGAATTTGTCTCGAGTAGACCGAAACGGGTGTCTTGCATTCCACCGCTGGTTAACAGCAATTATTAAATACGTATGCAAGGGAGAGGGGGAGAGAGGTCTGTGGCTTATTATGATGTAGGCGTTTGACCTTTACCAGTTTATTTATCTATCCAACTATCAACATTCTATTGGCTACATAGTACCATTAACCTTTTACACACTAATATCAGTAGATTACAGGTCAAAAGCATCTGTAAGTGATTTCATAGTAGATGAGAGTAGCTACAGCGCCTAGACTTGTTTCTTTTACACTCAGAGCTGCGGTTGAACAAAATGAATTGAATTGTTGTTTGTAAATATTTAGTATCTAGAGACCTTTAGCAGTTTATTCGACACCCGATCGATGGTAGAGAAAGATCCTTCAAAATGGTAGCTCGGTAGCCTGTTTGAATGAGCTGATCTCACATAGATCAACGTCTCTGACTACAACCCTGAGTGACCCAGGTTCAAGTCTCAGAAGGGGGACATAAGTTCTTACAAAGTTGCAGTTACGCCTTCCTGACGAATGGCAACTAGCATGAAACCCAGTTTAAAAGCTTCCTGCCGATTGCCTACAACCATCTAACACCAACCATTCACAGTGCACCGTGATAGCGAGCCACCTAGACTGCTGGCCACATTGCAAACTTGACGGACTGATAGAATTCAGTCTGCATTAAACAAAGGACTAGACACACTACACTAGTCACTTACTAGCGTCCAATGAAAATATCCACTACAGTCCTACAGGAGGTCATTCACGAGCCCGAATAACTATCAGTGGTAACGTCTCTGACTACAGCCCTGAGTGACCCGGATTCAAGTCTCAGAAGGGGGGCGTGAGTTCCTACAAGGTGGTAGTTGCAGATACACCTCTCTGAATGGTTAGATTGCGAAAAAGCACGAAACCTATGTCAAGCAAGTCTTCCTGAGGTCGATTGCCTCCAACCCCATCTAATAACAACAAATATACCTTATCAAGCAATGCAAAGGAAAATAACTCTGTTACACCCTTCCTGAAGTTTTCATTTCGAAGGTGTTATTGTTGTGAACCGATTATTATTATTATTACACCATATATTGTTTCTTCAGGTAGCAGCAGGTCTATTGCCTCCTCCAAAGCCTATTCCACAAAACACTTCAACAGGTCCAAGTGTACGTCGAATTGATCCGTCAACAGAAGAACGTGAAGCTAATGAAAAGAAAAAGGAGAGACAAGATCAACTGGAAGATACTGATGATGCAGAGGCATTGTCTAAAGCTAGAGCATTCGATGACTTTAAAGATGAACATCGTAGAGGTAGTGGGAATAGAATGAACAGATCTTGAAGGGAAACTTGAGAAACTTTATTTACTTGTACACTACACTTGAATGATGAGACGATATTCTCACTAATATTATGATCATTTTTACTAATTATATTTTGTACATAAAATGTGCTAAATATAAATTTTAAAGTATGCCCATTTAGTTTTTTCTTATCAGAGAGAGATGTGTGTTGGTATTCTTTTGGATAGAAAATCTTTAAAAACCATTTTATTTTCAAGTATTCGTTTTTGTGGGGATTTTGTTTGATTGGTTGGAGGATTTCATCATGAACTGACATCGGTCAGAAAAATATTGGAAAACCTGGGAGTACTGGAGGGCTGTTTCTGCCCAGTTTGGGGCTCTTCGGCAGTATGCGCCTGCCAGCAGGGGTTAGAATCCAGCAGCTTCTGGTCACAGAACGAGCTCGTAGACCATTCAGCCACTGGGGCCAGATCCATGAATTCTTACTTTGCACGATCTTCCGCAAATTGACGACATAGCGCGACCACTTAGCAATGTCTTCGATGAGTAATTGTCCCCACCCTCGACCTGCTCACCTGATGCTCACTAGCGACTGGCGCTATTCAGGCAGTTACCTGGGGTTCTAGTGGGAAGCCGTGACCAGCAGAGTACAGCAATTTGAAGGTGAGGCAGTAACTCATCGAAGAAGACATTTTGAAGTGGTCGTGGGTTGGCAGAAGTTAGAATTTATCGACTGGCCATTGAACCCGATCCCAGTGGCTTAATGGTTTACGAGCTTGCCTTGGCACCAGAAGGTTCTGGGCTCAAACCCCCTTGGGTGCGTGCTGATGTAGAACCCCTAAACAGGGCAAAACATCTGTCCAGTACTCTCAGGTTTTCCAATGTTTTTCTGACCAATTTCAGCTCATGATGAAATCTTCCAACCAATCGCACAACTTTATACTGTGTTTTTGTGTGTGTGTCAGTGTTTTTTTTATTGTCTGTTTCTTTTTATCTCCCTCCATAAGTGATTACAGCGCATTTATTGATTGTTAACTGATCAGAACTCACTTATCCCCGCCACCACTGGTCTAAGAGGGGCCACCGATGAAAATTACCGTGTCACCGAAGCTAAAATATGTGGAACAAGATTTGAACCTCAAAATCCTGTTCGTTAGAAGTGAAGTGCTTCAACCAGCCATATTGTTTTATAATAATAATAGTGATAGTGATTTACTTTATTTCACAATAGTACTTATGATATTGTGTGAAATTTTCAGCATGCTTGCCTAACCATCGATTGCCTTCCTTGGCGGGTACTGTTAGCTGGCATAGGATTAGGTTGGAAAATAGAAAGCTAGTGGTGGGTGGTGAAACCAAAACATGACTTCAACAGTCCATGAAATCTCTAACAGTTAGTTTCAGTGTCAGCCATTTGGGAAGGTAGATGTAGATTTCCTGGCTGGCTGGTTGGAGTCTTCGGGTTGATGATAAGAACCATTGATAGCTAATGATATGGTTCAAAATCGTTCTCAATGAAGAGCGCAGATGCATTGACTCACTCTTTGTGATTTGTCATATCCAATAAAATTCGATTGTTCTTCCACATAACTAATCTTTTTCCCTCACTCACACTTCTGTTTATTGTCTCTCTCTCTCTTTTAAATCTGTCCTAACTCTCTTCTCTTTCTTTGTGTGGTACATAGAGAGTGGCAAGTTGGACTGTTGCGCATATGTGCAGAGTAGTTTGACGTTGAAACCAATCAGTCATTTTGTTCCTCTGCGTTCCAACTGGAACTGCGCCGTCTCTGGCGTAGACGTGATATCCGACTATCGACCAAAGGGCGTGTGTACTGCTCAACAGTCCGCTCCGTCCTCCTAACTGGAACAGTCCCAATAGCAGTGGTGTTATTCTCTCTCCCTCTGGGATTGGTTGGTTGCCAGTCTCACTCCCAACCTTTCCTCTCTACCGGGCTTACTACTAATGGCTAAACGAGGTTTAGGAATGCGTTTGCCGAGAGGGTCGAACCCTTGACCACGTATCGCTTAACCACCTACGCATAAGAAAATAATTGATGAGTATAAACTCAAGAGGAAAGCACGTGAGGAGTAGATTTATCTTGAAGCGTTCCTACAAATGATTAACTGTATGCGTAATATTATTCTCAGGTATTCTACGGATGAGTACCTTATGAAGTCTCTTTTTATCATTATATAATTAAATCAAGTTATTATTCTTCGTGTACATCTGTGGTTCAACAGCAGAGTACTTCATCGGGGTTCGATTCCCGGTCGACACGCAACTAAACTTTGCCTAGTTGGAAAATAGGGAAGGTCAGACATAAGGCTAACAACCCCACCCCCTAAAAGCAAACAACACCGCCTCTGCTACTGAAACTCCAAAGCCTAAAATCTTGATGCCGTATGTTCCACTCAGAACGCAAAGGAAAAGAAAGTATTCTTTGTAATTCAATAATATCAGTTCTTTTACATTGACGACATTCAGAAGACATTATGTATCCCTGAGTCAGTTCATGAGAGCTTATAATAAAGCCTTGTTATCAAAGTCTAAAATAGGTGGACCATCTCTCCACATTTACAACATCCACATATATGACATTCCCACCCCCTGGCCTCCACGTCCCCACTGAACTAACCTGTTGTTGTGATACATTTTAATGATGGTTCGTAGATATATTTGACCGACAGAATGGCTTTGTTTATTTTATATTGTACTGAGAAGTAGGCAGATACCCTTTTCCAAGTGATTTTTGTTCATCTAACGGCAGTATTGTTGAATAACCCATCAAGAGTTTGTCCCCAAAAAGATTTCATTTGTTTCAAATTTGATCATAGATAGATAGATATCAATGAGTGAATCAGGAAGTACTGGATATCCGTTTCGTCCTAGTTTGGATCTTTTCACTGACATGCATCCACTATTCTACTAGGGATGGAATCCTGATAGGTAGATGGCTGAATTGTCAATGAGCATGGGGTAGTAATATGAAGTACCAGGTTCAATCCCTGATGGTGGTATCGCCGGTGTGTGTACTGCTGTCTAGGTACTCTCCACCTTTCAATCTTTGTGTGAGTATTATCAAAGTATGATCGAATTTGACAAGTATTTATGTAGACGTGACTCAATGACTTCAACACACTTAATCCACTCAGCCTTGTGGACCCCGAGATTGAATTCCTCTCCATCTACTTCTTCCTGGGCAACCGGCTGGTATCACCAACTGCCACATAATAAGTATAGTTCACAGCCTGAACATACGAATGACCAGTCATCAATTTTGAAAGGTGTCACATAATTTACTTCTTTTTTTTTCAGATTATCCATTGGTGAAATTAATCAAAAAATGTCGAAAAAGCCACGTGTTGAATTCATTCAAAATGCTGAGCCATCATTTATACGTGAATTTAAAGAACGTGCAGGTATACCGGCAGCCGACACAATTGAATCAAAGGTAATGCTATTCTCTGTTGTATATATATATATATTCTTTTACAAGTGCTAGTTTGTGGTCACCTACATGTTTCGTCCCGGTTTGAGACTCTTCGGGATTACTCACTCACTTAAGTGTGAACGTAGGACCTTACGGTCACAAGGCGAGCTTGTAGACCATTCAACCACTAGGACCTGATGCAATGACTCCTGAATTCCAAATTCTGTCAATTGACAATGTACACAGTGCAACAGCCAACCCATGCCATCGGCGTTACGCTCTTTTCTTACCTGATTTCGTGTACCCCTCCAAAAAGCCTCAGGATGGTCGGGGGTAGGTGCCTTGCGCTGCGGGTTGGCCACCCCTCCGCACACCTCTTGAAATGCTCCCATATGACCGGGCGTCTTACATAGCCTCTCCTGAGGAAGTCCTACTCACTGCCTTCACGTGGCGGAGGTGTTTTTCACCAAAGTGAGAGGGCGAAAGCGGATGCCCGGCGCTCTTCACCGGGTTGACTGTCCATTGGATGACAGTCTAGGGGAGATGGCTGAACCCTCCAACCATCTAATATCATCAAATGATTGGGTTTTTTTATATTAACTTTGCTAATTCATTGAATGTCTGTTGTTGTTGTTTTTTTATTGATTTTTCCTTCAAGAGAAAGCAGTTAGACAAAGATGATGATGGCGATGATGAAAATCGTCCAGAAGAAGAACAACCTCAACTAGTTTATGATCCATGTTCGAATGTTGATGAATTGGAGGCAAGAGCATTTATTAAACAATGGCAATATGAACATAAACTTGGCTATATACCACCAATTGAAGATGAAAATATGAAAAAGGAGAAATTAGGTAAAGCTTTCTATTTTGATTTGTTTAATTCACAGTGCTACCTTAATCACCTTTTTTTTACTTGGTGATTATAGATGTACCAAATCGGATTATTTATCGATCTGCTGAAGAACGTAACAGTACTCCTGGAAATAATGCCACCAACGGTGGTGGTGGTGTTCAATCGAATATTGAAGGCTTAAGACGAGATCATCGGAATAATGATAAGAAGAACAAGAATACTAACAGTCATGATAATAGTCGATCACACAACAAAAAGCCTGATCGAGATCGCTCTCCACTTGATTCAAAACGAAAGGGGACAAAGTGTTCGTTGTTATCATTTGATTTAGAGGCTGAAGAAGAGGATGAGGGATGAATACTCGTCATTTTGTATGTCTGTTTGTGTGTGTGTGTCATTTATACTTTGTAATATATAACCACCGGGATATAATTCTTTTTCTTTTCTTTTCTTGTAAATTTTCATTGATGAAAAGTGTATATTAATCAGTTTTGCACATCTGTCATATAAAATGTGAAGGCTAATTTCATATAGTGTGTGTTTATAATTCATTTGTAAACGTGTGATATCAGATATGTGTACTATGAATATACATATATTCATGTGTTAAGTTATTCTTTGTTGTGTATGAAGTGATGGGTAATTTTGGTGGTCGTGCTGGGGTAGGTGGGGTTTGGAATAAGAAATCAGGCGAAGAAATAATATCCCTTGGGCGTCATCGAGTGCTAGGTAAGGAGGGAAGGTCAGTTGACGAGTTTGTGAAGCAGTCGTATCGATTGAAATGGTTAGGGCATGTGTTACGCATGCATGCCTAGCCATCGATCACCTTCCTTGATGTCGACGGGCGATGTTACCTGACATAGAATTGATCAGGTTGGAAAGGAGGAATAGAAACCAAGTGGGAAATTAAATGTCTGGGCGTCATTCTATCTGCTGATCTCTCCTGGGCGTCTCATATCTTGGCGATTTCTAAGAAAATATTCCGTCTTACCTTCTACATCAAGAAGTTGGGGCATTCTGGTATAACCGAACCCTTACTCCTACAATTCGTTAACTCTCGCATTCTGCCTATTATTCTCTATTGTTCCCCCTTAGTTTTTCCCGAGCTACTGAAGAAAGACTATAACATATTACACAGGATGTTAAAGGTTGTCAGCAGGGTAAGCAAGGTGCCACTTAACGAGGTTGTTAATACTCTGGTTGACAGGTACATGGACTCATGTGAAAAATGGGCCAAATCCATTTTATCCAACTCACACCATCCTCTTCATTCAAAACTCTCCCCTTGTATCTCATCAGGCAAAACCAGAAGCCTATATAGAAAACTATATGCTCGCACCAGCAAGTACAAAAACTCAACCATACCCTACTTGGCTCGTGTTCTGTGTGACAAAGAAAGCATAAGGCACGATACCTATAACTTATTAAATAGTCAGTAGAACAACTGGATCTCGTCTTTCCAACTCATATCATTCATAGGTACAACGTTTTCTTTCTTTTCCTTTTCTCTCTCTTTTTTCTGTTATGTGCTGCTTTGTTTCTTTCTTCCTTACAAACTCTATTAAAACATTATTCTTCGTTCTTTCACACTCTGTATATATCGATCTTTTGTTACCGCTTACGCCAGTAAATATGCTAGTATCTACTTTTCAAACACTTCAATTTTGACTTTGCTAATATGTTGTCAAAACTAACTGAGATTACCCTTAATCTATGTAGAATTTTATTTATTGTTAATGTACTAACTGGATGCAATACTGTAGTAAAAAAAATGCTGAGAATTCCATTCTGTATCACAAGTACTGTTTTGGAATAAAGCAAATTATTATTAAAAAAAAAGCTAGTGGTGGGTGGTCAAACCAAAACATGACATCAACAGTCAATGAAATCCATAACAGTTAGTTTAACACAAGCAGTCATGTTGGGATCCTTGGGATGGTAAGAATCGATGGCGGCAGGAGACAATTGGTGATATCACTGGCTCAAAATCTTCGGTCTCAGTGATTGTTGGTGCAGATGCATTCACTTACTCTTTGTGATTTGTCATATCCAATAAAATTCGATTTTTCTTCTGTATTACTATTCTTTTTCCCTCACTTACACTTCTATATATTATCTTTCTCTTTTAAATCTCTCTTTACTCTCTTCTCTGGTTTTGTGTGATACATGGAGAGAGTGTGGCAAGCTGAACTACTACTGCACATCTGTGCAAAGTAGTTCTATGTTGAAACCAGTGAGTCAGTCAGTCACATAGTCATGTGTTAGTTGTACAGTGGCTAGTAGAGTGTGTCCTTGTCTTTTATGATTTTTATCAATTGATGGATAATATCGGGGAAATAAAAAATTATTAGGGAAAGAAATAATATTATTATTATCATTATTGTTCCGTTGGGTTCCTAGTGGAGCAGTGAGCTTCAACAGGACGTCTACACCTTGTTGTATTTTCCGAGGTCCTCTTTAGCTGGCCTCATGGTTGCCCATAATTTCTGATCTCCATGTCACCTTCGAACCAACACCCAATTTGTCGTTTCCCAATCGGGTTCCACTCGAACACTGGCCTAGCACTAGATATCATACGGTGGTTTGCTCACCGTGTGTACCATGTCTATCTTCATTTTCTTCCGAATATTTGTTGAGCTGTAGGTTCTTGGGTGGGTTTGTTCCCATAGTTGCTTGATGCTTATTCCTTCTGGCTGGCTATATGATCCCCACTATGGACTGGTAGGTGTTGATATATATATATATATATATATATATATATATATATATATGGGTTCCTGAGTGGAACATACGGTTTCAACAGCATATCTCCACTTTGTCCCATTCTCTGTGGTCCTCTTTAGCTGGCTCGGCGGTCGACCATATTCTCTCATCTCCTCCGTTTCCCATTCAAGCGTTGAACTGGTGCGTGATGTCATTCGACGGTCTTCTCAGCGTGTGTGCCCAACCCATCTCCCTTTTCTCCTAAATATTTCTTAGAAGATAGGTTCTTGGTTAGTTTGTTGTTGCTAATTCTTAATGGCCATTTGCTCTTCAGTATGGAGACAGCGAAAAGAGCTGTTGGTAGAAGTCTGCACTGGCCTGTTAGAAATCCTTTTCGTGACGCGTGAGCTAAGTTTCTGATTCAAATAGAAAAACTGACTGAATTCATATATGTTGTAAAAATCCGAATATTGTTGTTTATGTTGGCTGGGTGCAGAAGATTCCCAAACTGGTTTCGGGGGTGATAAAGACTTGTCTTCCTTTTCCGATTCTGGCCGGCTTTGAAATCTTCATTCGTGGTTAAAACTATGCTGCCTAGATTAGTGAAGGTAATGACGTCTTCCAAATTTCTCTCATTGATGGTGATTGTGGTCGACTGGTTACCTTCATCACCTCCATCTTCACCTGGAGTCCTTTCTTAGCTGCCAGTTTATATATATATATATATATATATATATATATACGTTTGTGCAGCTTGGTAAGAAGGAAAGAGTCTTTTAGCTTAATGCTATGTCCCTAAAGTTACGCAACCAACATATGTGGTGAACTAAACGAATTTAGTCTTCTTGGTGCTTGAGCGATGTAGACATTCTGACTGAAGTCATTCAAACGCTAAGAATTTAGTGTCTAGAGAGTCGAACTCGGAGCACTCGCGTGCTGGTTGACAAGCATTCTACCATTGAGCCATAGAGGTGGCACATCACCAGTGAAATTGGATAATTTTCAGTTAATTAAATTGAAATTAACTAGATTTCATCATCAGCTAACATCGGTTAGAGAATCATTGAAAACCAGGAAGTACTGGATAGCTGCTTCGTCCTAGTTTGGGACTCTTCATCAGTACGCACCCGCCACCAGGGGTTTGAAGTCAGGAGCTTCTGGTTACAAGGTGAGCTCGTAGACCATTCACCCACTGGGACGCGATCCAATGGCCAGCTCATGAATCCTAACTTCTGCCAACTGATGACATAGCGCGACTACTTGGCAATGTCTTCGATGAGTAACTGTCCTCACCTTCGACCAGTTTGGAAGTTATGGGACGTTGGATAGGGTCCCACTGGCATAGTGGTCTACGAGCTCGTCTTGCACTGAGTGCATTAGTCATGGGTTTGAACCTGGGTGATGGGTACGTAACGATGAAGAGTCCCAACCTAGGACGAAGTGGCTGTCCAGTACTCCCAGGTGGTTTCCCAATGGTTCTCTAACCAATGTCAGCTTATGATGAAATCCTATAATCAATCAATCAAATCCCTACAAATCAATACTCGAACAAAATTAACTAGTTCTGTTTAGCTGTGTACGGACTTGATTAAATATGACGCTATTACTTTGTTAGAAAACGCTGTTTTTGATCGATTGAATCACATCACTTGAACCTAATTTATGTTTGTTCTATTTAATTAATCTCATCACTTTTCAAGCTGCACGTAGTACATGTCTTTTGAATAGTTTCGATGTAATTTCATTTTCATCACTTGTGACAGTTATGATAGTAGCGCGTTTGTTAACAGCACCAAGAAAGTTAAATTTAAGGTAAGAAGCGCATGACAATAAAACTTAAAAGTAGATCCCTAAGGCTTTTCTAGTTATATGCAGTATTGTTATTTATTCCTAATCCCTTAGATTCCGCAAAGGACATAAGGAGGGCTTCACCAGTACAATTTGCTGTCTTAATTTACTATCCCCTGCCCTGATTGCCCATAAGATCTCATTTCCTCTTTGTATCACCCTGGTACGCTCAGCATGCCATTCCCTATATGGGTTCAACTTAAGGGTCTGGCATGTGAGAGGTGTCTGTTAGCCAAAATTGGTAGACAGCAATTTACGTCAATGTTTACGTCCCAAATCGGGGTCATGGGAAAAAACAATAACAAAGCCTAACCTTGAGGAACTCACCAACCAATCACAGCGGACTTAACGCATGCAAATACGATTCGCAGATATATGGCTTAACTTTCTAAGAAACGGTCACAAACAGTACACATTCACCTTCAGTAAGCAAACAACCAATCAAAAGACGCTGCTTCTCTGCTAATAATAATGCACATAAAAATGTATAAATATTTGTTGATTTTCTCAATAAACAATCTGTTGCCTGGCCCTTATCTTCTGTCGTTACAATATCAACTAGTGATCTTCTCAGAGTATGTTCGATCCACCTTTGATCTCATTTTGTTGTATTTGTTGGCCAACAGATTTTTGACTGTTTCGATGTCTTCCAAAGTTCCTTGTTGCTTTATTGTTTCTGGCTAGCCATTTAATCTCTTGTATTGAGTGTAAACTGCTGTTGAGGAAAGTTCTTAATAGCCTGGCGCAAATGGATTTCTTCGACACACGCACTGACTGAAATGATACTGGTGCTTAAAATCCGAATTTTGTTGTTCATACTGAGACTAGCAGATTCCCACACTGATTTCAGATTAATGAAGGTTTGTTTCGTCTTTCCGATCCTGGCTGACTTTGGCATCTGTACCGCCTGCAGTTGAAACAGTGTTGGGTAGTTCCAGAAGACGACTTCATATAGATTTCTCCCAAGAATGGTGATTGGTACTTCTTGTATTTGGTTAGGTTTCTTCGTCATCCGTATTCTCACTTGAAGTCCTGTCTTCCTTGCCTCATCTGCCAACTTACCACTCTCCATGTACCACACAAAGCGAGAGAAGAGGCAAAAAGCATAGTATTACGGCAGAACAATAGAATTTTATTGGATATTATAAATCACACAGAGTGAATACATTTGCGCCATTCATTGAGAACGATTTTGATCAATGTCACCAATTATCTCGAGCCATTGGATTTTACTATCCCGAGGACCTCGACCAGTCAGGATGTCTACACCCCCCTACGTGACTTAAACTAACTATTGTGGATTTCATTGACTGATGGAGCCATGTTTTGGTTTGACCACCATTAACTAGCTCTTCTCTGACCTAATTCATCCTATGTCAGGTAACATCGTTCGTCAAGGACGGTGATTGCCAGGCATGCGTAACACATGTTCTAACCATCTCAATCGATGTGACTCCATAATGCCGTCGATTGATTTCCCCTCCTTACCTAGCACTCGACCGATGCCTAACCTCAACATTGGTCACCTTATCATACCACGTAACATGGGAGATAGACGACAGACACCTATGATCAGAAACAAATAACCAGGCTTTTCATCTCTTCCACTTTCAATGGCTGTCTCACTCACAGCCATAAAGGAGGACGGAGCGGACTGCTGTGCAGTACACACACCCTTTGGTCGACAGCCAGCTGGACATTAGGTCTACTAAGCCAGAGATGGCGTAAGTTGGCTAATAAATGCCAAACGAGTCCTGTGTATCCGTGCTGAGATTTCGTCAGCGATCAACCCACTGGGGTAGATGGCGAATTCCCCAATAAGTGAGGTGGTCAACACGCCACATCAACCACTTCACTACTGCCCATCTTTAAGCCTATCTATCCTATATTTGACAGGAGCTAGTCGTATACCAAATCTCGTCGATTGATTTCCTCTCTTTACCTAGCACTAAACCGATGCTTAACGTCACTATTGCTCGCCCTATTATACCACTTCACACGGGAGATAGAACGCAGGCACCAATGATCAAAGACGGTTAGCCTTTTCATGTCTTTCACTTTGAATGGCCAGATCTCACAGCCGTAAAGGAGGACGCAGCGGACTGGTGTGCAGCATACACGTCCTGTGATCGGTGAGGGGAATTCACGTCTACGCTAGAGATGGCATAAACTGGCATATGCGAGACAAGCGTCCTGTATCCGTGCTGAAATTTCGTCAGTGACCAACCCGTTGGGGTTGATGCAACTCCCCAAATAAGTGAAGTTGTCAACACACTCAGCTACCACTTCACTCCTGTCTATCTTTAAGCTAGGAGTCAGTTCTGTAGCATCATCTTACATTTGATGGGAGTGAATCGCATGACAAACATTCGAAGATTCCTGCCCCTCAAGGTGTTCAGAAGACTCTGCATTTTGTCAGCGTCTTCACCAAGAAGGTCTGTTTGTCTGGATTCAACATAGAACTCGGCACCGAAGTGCAGCAGTTTGAGTTGCCACTTTCCAAATAGCACACAAAGGTAGACAAGAAAATGAGTGAAGAGAATCAATCGAGTTTTGACAAGTATACGGGTGAAACAGAATGAGTAATGGTAGAAAGGAATATGAAAGATTACAGAGACTGACTGAATACATCTGCGTAAGCCATTGGCAACGATTTTGAGCCATGTCACCTATTGTCTCCAGCCATTGATTCTTAGAGTCCTGAGGGTGGGCCCCAACCCGGAAGTCTGCATCTCCCTCCCTACCTGACTCAGTTTAACTGTAAGGGATTTCATGGATTGATGAGGCCATGTTTTTGTTTGGCCACCACTTACTCTTTTCCAACCTGCACCTATATCAGCTAGTAATGCCCGTCCGTCGGGGGAGGCGATGGTTAGGCAGGCGCAGCATGTGACCTAGCCATCTCAATCTATGTAACTTTATAGCCTCTTCGATTGATTTTCCCTCCTTGCCCAACACTCTACGCCTAACGTCAACATTACTTACCTTATTATACCACCTAACGTGGGAAAGAGATCGTAGACATCTATGATCAAAAACACTCAACCTTTTCATATCTTCAGCTCGTATTGGCCATGTTTCAGAGCCATGGAGAAGGACGGAGCGAACTGATGAGCAGTATATACGTCCCTTGGTTGACAGTCGGATGTCACACCTGCGCCAGAGATGGTGTAAGTTAGTCACCAAGAAGGACTATATCATCTGCAGCCGAAAACATTTGAAAACCAAATAAACGAAAAAAAGATGTAACATCTGTCACCATATTATATTATTATTATAATTATTATTATTATCATTACTGTTATTACCCAACTGTTTCTACACAAAAGACAAATTATTCACAAAATAATCACAATTACACACAACTGAAGAAAAAAAATATTTGGAAGTAGGTGAGTTTCAATTCAAATCAGCATTATTAACCTCATCTTCATTATTATCATCGATATTCTCAATCGAGGTAGCAGGTAGCAGTGGTGGTAAGCAGAAAAATTGTCTAATCCTCCCGAAATTCAGAGACCAAAAACAAAACAAAACAAAGAAAGGATATTCTCAATAAGTTAGGCATACAAGTGCATTTATTGGGTATGTACACAAGCGTTGTTGACCACTCACCACCACCACCACCACCACGACCCAGTAGAGTAGTATTCTTTTTGGGAGGAATATATATGTATGTGATGATTGATTACATGACATTAGAATATGTTGTTTTACAGAAAGACAGTGTTGTTTTTTTCTTCAAAGGAGAGAGAGAGTTAAGTACAATGAGTACAATATATAACAACAAACACACCACACTACTATTCCATTCCCCATGCTAACCTAACCGACCACCACCACCGAAAGGTCCAAACCCTCCACCAGCTTGTAATTGACGCATCATATTCTGTAGACCAGCCATACCACCCATTTGTTGTAGGATACGTGGATCGAGTACTTTAGCCATCGATTGATTCAATTTAGCCATTTGACCAGCACTGACAGATCTTGACGCGGCTGCCATATCCGCTAGACTTGGTGTATTTCCACTGCCACTACCACCTGGACCACCTGCACCACCAGCTGCTGCACCACCCATTCCTCCAATACCAGCACCACCTTTAGGTCCAGTTTGAAAGAGTCCTTTAATACCACCCATTTTTTTAATAACCATGTAGAATTTACTATGTTGTGTTAGAAGAAGTTTCACTTCAGCTTGACTAACACCGGCACCACGAGCAACACGAAGTGTTCGACCAGGTTGTCGATTGAATAGACGACCTCCTTCATCAGAGTCTAATTCATAATCATTCATACTATCCATGATTGTCATAAGACGTTTTAAGCGTAGATGACTTTCCTATAAGTTAAAAAAATATACCGACACGAAAATTTAACAAGGTATCATATATAATAATAATAATAATTTGCTTTATTCCAAAACAGTACTTGTGATACAGAATGGAATTCTCAGCATTTTTACTACAATATTGCATCCAGTTAGTACATTAACAATAAATAGAATTCTACATAGATTAAGGAAGTCCCAGTTTATTATGACATCAACATATTGGCATGTCGGTAGCAAAGCCAAAGTTGAATAGTGTTTGAAGGTGTTAGAAAAGTAGGAGCTGTCATATTTACTGGCGTAAGCAGAAGAAAGAAACAATGCAGCACATAACGGAAAAAAAAGAGAGAGAATAGGAAAAGAAAGAAAGAAAATGTTGCACCTATAAATGATATGAGTTGGAAAGACGAAGTCCAGTTGTACTACTGACTATTTAATGAATTATAGGTGTCACGCCTAATGCTGTCTTTATCGCACAGAACACGAGCTAAATAGGGTATGGTTGAGTTTTGTACTTGCTAGTGCGAGCATATAGTTTCCTATATAGGCTTCTGGTTTTGCCTGATGAGATGCAAGGGGAGAGTTGTGAGTGAATAGAGTGGTGTGAGTTAGATAAAATGGACTTGTCCCATTTTCACATGAGTCCATGTACCTGTCGACCAGAATATTAACAAGCTGGTTAAGTGGCACATTGCTTACCCTGCTGACAACCTTTAACATCCTGAATAATAAGGTATAATCTTTCTTCAGTAGCCCGGGAAAAACTAAGGGGGAACAATAGAGAATAATAGGCAGAATGCGAGAGTTAACGAATTGTAGGAGTAAGGGTTGGGGGGTTATACCAGAATGTTTTAACTTCTTGATGTAGAAGGTAAGACGGAATATTTTCTTAGAAATCGCCAAGATATGAGACGACCAGGAGAGATCAGCAGATAGAATGACGCCTAGGTATTTAATTTCCGACTTGGTTTCTATTTCAGTGCCATCTATGTTGCATACCTCGTGAGAGCCAACCAGTTTTTTTAGGTCGGATTTATGCCTAAATGTGAAATTGACTGTTTGGCATTTAGAGGGGTTTAAGGTAACAATCAACGTATGAATCAATAATAATCATGCGAGAAAATTTCCTAAATGTTATCGAGATTACACTACCACTGAGTTCCTTTTACAAACCAAAACTATTCTGACTGTCTGGTTTCGACATAAAACTTTGCACAGAAGTGCGCCAGCTAGAGTTTCCACTCTCCCTCTGTGTAGCACACAAAGTGAAAGAAGAGAGTAAGCAAAGAGAGATAGTAAGCAGAAGTGTGAGGGAAAAAGAAGAGTAATATGGAAGGAGAATGGAGGTTTATTGGATATAACAACTAATCACAAAGAGTGAATGTATATGCGCCAACTATTGAGAACGAGGATTTTGAGCTATACCACCAAATGTTCGGACTGATAGTTGCTACCTTGACACGGTGATCGGGCTTGGATATCGTAATCACCTAACCAGTGACACTAACGGGAACTAATGTTCCTGCAGGTCCTACCGTGCCAGGAAGATAGGTTAGGATAGCGATTAGACTAAAAGCAGTTACCGGCATAGTGTAAGATTGTTTACACCATGCTGGGAGTTTTTGAATAGGGATGCAACAGTCGCAGTAAGATGTTTCCCTCAGATGACCAGCATGCCAGCAGCTATGCTGTCTCTCCACTCTGGAGAGAGGGGTCTGTCTGTCTGTCTGTTTTCGACATTGAACTTTGCACCAATGTGCGGCAGCTCAAGTCGCCACACTCCATGTAGCATACAAAGCATGAGAAGAAAGTAGAAAAATGCATTCTAGAGACAGTAAACAGAGGTGTGAGACAAAGGAAAAGTAATAACGAAGAACAATATAGTTTCATTGGAAATCACAGTGAATCACAAGGAGTGGATGCATCTGCCTTAGCCATTGAGAACGATCACTTTGAGCCATATCACCAATTGTTTCCAACCATTGGTTTTTACTGTCCCGAGGACCCCAACCAGGAAGTCTACACCTTCCTACGTGGCTTAGACTAAATGTTGTGGATTTCATTGACTGGTGCCATGTTTTGGTTTGACTGCCACTAGCTCTTTTCCAGCCTGACCCTAGAGAGAGAGAGGGGGTTAGAGAAGGTCGAGCCCAAAAACTATACATCCCGAATTATCCTACCTACGGTAGGCTGTAGCCTACGTAAGTTACTAATACGGAAACGAACCTAAAAGACAGTTCATCAAACGGACCGTATGTGACCGGCCTTAAGCAGTCGTCCCCTAGGCTCTGCAGTTACGCAATACTAATTCTCTTTCTGTTACCTCGCTAAGCCAGAAATAATGCTGGTGAAGAGAAAAAGTTGGGCATGAGGCTAGCAACCCCATCCTGTAAAATAAACACTGCTACAGAAACTTCAAGCTACTAGCTTGAAGCCCTATGTTCCACTGGGGAACGTAAAAGAAATAAAATCCTTTTTCTGTTTCAGGTTGCACGGTGTGGATGGCCGGAAAGTGACAACCACCCACACACTTCCAAAAGCAGTATGCGAAGCCCTCCTGCCTTAACAAATAAAGTAAGTAGAGCGGGAATTGAACTAGAAATCCATTAGCTGACAGAATGAGTGTTTCGTCAACGAATGAGCTACATCTCCCCCCACCACCACCACCACCACAGTAGCTTGTAGGTGCTTATATCAGCCTGCCTTATCAAGGGGCACGAAGGAAATCTTAACGAGTTTCGTGTAGTGAAGTCAGCAATGAAGGGTAAAAAAGAGTATTGCATAACTAACACACGCACACACTAACAGCAGATTATGTTTGAAGAAGAGTCCAACAGCAAAGGAGATAGGCCACCTGACGATGACACCTAATTACACGCAGCTGAATCGCCGGTTACGTGAACATACATAAACACACACATAATGGTACAGTATCATCTTGTAGCGCAACCACTCAACAGCCCTCCATCCTCAGTGGATCACAAGGTCAACAGAAGTTCCAAATCGTATTAAACACGCACACAATAAAATCAAAATAAAAGGCCTCGCCTACCTGATCATTAGCTAATAGATCTTGTCCAAGACCCGGAATAGCTGATAGAACTTGAGAGAATGAGCCAATTTTTAAGATATTTTGAAATTGTTCATACATATTACGTAAGGTGAAAACGCCCTGCTTCAACTTTTTCACTAATTCTTCATTTTCGTCTAATTTTAATTCCGTCACCTGGGGTGTGAAATAACAAATCAGAAATTAGATTCAAAGAAAACGACAATACACAATAAATAGTAGTACAGAAAATTTAACCAAAAAACGTTAACAAACCATAAAAGTTAATAAAGCTATGGGTTCACCAGTCTCCCCAATAGTCGCCGACCTTTTCATGAATAAATTCAAAAATAACATCTTTTCAAATATACTCACTCCTAAAATATGGTTAAGATATGTAGATGATACTTTTGTAGTACTAAAACGAGATCTACACAATTCATTCCTGGAGAATATAAACTGTGTATCTCCCAGAATCCAATTCACTTCGGAAGAAGAATCAGACGTGGGTGAACTACCATTTCTAGACTGTCTAGTTAAGAGAAAGGAAAACGGACATTTTAGTATATCCATATTCAGGAAGAAAACCCACTCAAATAAATATTTAGACTTCAAGTCATCACACCGCATCAGCGCAAAGATTTCAGTTGTTTCAAGTCTTCTTAGACGAGCACACTCTCTGATAACCGACGAGAAAGAAAAAGAAGAAGAAATATCAAACATTACTGAAACTCTCAAGCAAAACAACTACCCATGGAACTTCATCAACAAAATCAACACAGACATTAAGTATGGCCGAGAACGCATTCCGAAAACATGGACATCAACAGTCGTCATTCCATATGGAGCAGAGACGTCAGACGATATCAGAAGAGTATTCAATCAGCTCGACATTAGAGTTTTCTTCAAAACATCAGACACCCTTCAAAGCAACCTTGTCCATATAAAAGACCAAATCCCTAAAGATTCTCTATCGAATTTTGTCTATAAAATAAAATGCTTGGAATGTGATGCGATATACATCGGACAAACATCTCGAGAAATCAAAATCAGAAGAAATAAACACCATAGAGCATCTCTTCGACCACCGACAAATCCCGTTGAACTACAAAAACTTGAAAAATTATCAGCCATAGGTCTGCATGCTATAGAATCAGGCCACAAAATTGATTTTGACAATATTGAAATCATAATCCAGAAAGACTTCAGAAATCACAAAGAACGTCTCATTTCATCAGAAGCACTTTATATCAAGTGGAATCCAAATTGCCTGAATAGGAAAGATGGACTAAAACAGAATCTGACCTGGTTACAACACCTCCCTCCCCCATCAAGTGACAAAATCGACACTATGTAAACACACACCAGCTCATGAATTCTAACTTTACTAATTTGTGATTTTAGTGCGACCACAAACCAATCTCATCGGCGAGAAATGCATCCTCACTCCCAACTAGATGGACCTCATTGGTCATCATGACTTCTCGCCAGAACTCCAAGCAACTTTGTTCTGTTGCTGAATGGTACGAGCCAGCTCCTGGGTTCGAACCCTGGTGGTGGGTGCGTACTGCCGATGATTTCCAAACTAGGATGAAACAGCTGTCAAGTACTCCAGTGCTGTTTTTCAATGGTTCTCTAACTGATATCAATCCGTGGTCACACTCGAAAAAATTAGGATGCATTGAATTCATCAGAATTCGGTAGAACTCTTCAGCTGAATACTTCAGGCCATGTTTAAATAGATTAAGGTAAGGGGGCTGGAAAGATTCAAATTAAGATAGTATTGCATTACGGTTCAGTTACATCACTTAAATTATTAATTAGTTAGTTAGTTAGGCAGGGGATCGAACCTCGGACCATGTGCATGGTTGGCGAGCGTCCTAACCACTGTGCTACCCATAGTCTACAAGATGCTTGTGATGTTATTGAAATTTTAGCCACTTTGACTTCAGTTTTTTGTTTTTGAACCCATTTGGTAAATTCTTCGTCATGTGAGTAGACAATCGCCTCTCCGGATGACCTACATATGCATATTTGCTTCCACGAGCATACTCAAATTGATAATGCACTGGTTGATGTGTCGTGGATTAATGACTGGTCTTTCCTAGATTGTTGAAGCACGCACTTGCTTGGTGACGTTAAGTACTGTTGGTGGCTTTTTCAAGTTTTCATTTGACTACCTACCTCTTGTACCTCATCTTCATTGAAATACGTTCACAACAGTCGTTTTGCATGAATCATTCAATGTAGTATGTTTTACGTATCAGTCTTACATCTACCAATGTAATTCTAACAGTATGTATATCCCTGTAAGCAGAGTATTCAGCTGAAGAGTTCTATCAAACCCCGATGAATTTATCATATCCTGCTTTATTAACTCTTGTGGCTTATTTTAAAATTCGTCTCGGGAAATGTTTTTTTTCAAAAAATACATCGTCTTAGTCAAGCGAACAACCACTGGAAAATTAGAAACTCAAGTTTATAGAAAATCCAACTCACACAGATCAAATATTCAATTACACAACAGCAAAAACCCGATAGCATACAAAATGAGTTGCATACAAACATTAGTCAACAGCGCCAGGACTCATTGCAGCACACCTACCTTTAGGAAAATTGAACGTCTACCAAAAAATAAATGGATATCCAGGAAACTTTATCAAAATACATCTACCCCCACAAGGCAACTAACCAAATCAAAGTCACTCCTCCTCCCGCAAGGAAAATACGAAAAAATTCTCACCATATAGAAAGAATGTCTCAGAAATCACTGCAAGACTCTTCAAACCTTTAGGAAATGATGTCACACATAAACCAACAAAATCGTGTAACTCAGCTAGGTGTCAACTAAAAGACTCAACATCGAAAGAAGATAAAACCAACATCATCCACAAAAATAAAATGCGATGATCATGATAAAAACACTACATCGACCAAAGTGGATGCCCTCTTAGTCTTTGCATACATGAATATGAACTGGCCGTCGAAAGACACGATAATATCGCTGCATACAGACAACCACGGACTTCAATTCACTCGGGACAAAGTTCAAATCTATTACACAGAGGAAATACCAAGAATGCCACAGAGGTTTTTAGAAACCTGATATTTCAGTGAATAGGCAATTACGAGGCACATTGAAATCGATAAAATCTATCAATCCATAAGAGGAAAACCTCATGCACAAAGGGTCAAACTTTAGGTCAAGGAGACAAATAGACAGACAAGAGCAACCAACCACGTTCAAAGTCACCAGGAGTGAAGACTGACAAACTCATGGAAAAAGGGGAAAGCTCGTTTCAACAAACTGAAGTATGCACTGAAGATGTTGTCTAGTAAGGCAAGTGAACAATCCAGCTCAGAGAAAACAGCTATATCAGAATACATCACCTACGACTATAGATGAAATTATTTTAAGGGATATTTTATGTATTATTACGTATTAAGCCTATAAGTAAGTAGGTAGGAATACTGTCAGAAATTCAAGACATAAAAAAGCCTCTTCATGGCTATATACTACTGACTAACTGATATGAGTAGTTTGGCACCACTAACATCAACCAGTGGAAGTGTTCACTAGCCTGACACATTCACGCTTACCTCTTTGATTGGGACTTATGGCATTAAGCCGATAACATGGATAATTTCGACTTCTGAAGGAAAACTGTGATGGAATTCCACCGGAGACTGTGTAAATTTCAAATTGCTACTTTGATTTGAAGAAAATAAAAGACAAATTCAGCGAAGAAAATTTTCCTTTCTTTATCGACGAAATCATCTTCACAGCCTGACTGTACAGTCGTATTTATACTTACAAAAATATAAAGTGGTCTATTATTGGGTAATAGAAGATAACATAATTGATAGAATTACTCAGAAGTGGCTTTAGAAGCGAAAAAAAATTAAAGTTGTAAATTACGTGGTACTCAACGGCACAAAGATAGAAATTTGATAAGGTTAAAATTGCTATTGAGTGAGAATAAAGGTGGTAGTTGAATGTCAATTTAACAAGTGTGAAGAGGGTATGAAAATGTACGAAAGGAACATATGAGAGTGATAATAGTGAATTAATTATTAAAGCAAAAGCAAAGCAACCACTAAAAATAAAAATTTACAGAGAGCGACTAGTGAAGACGATAACATCATGCATGGTAGAATAAGAGACTGGACAAACTTTTTCTGTATACAGAGTTCAGGGTTGTATTGATGAATCGCCAGCGCCTCCACCATACACAAAAGCCGAAACCTGACGCCCTTTGTACCACTTGGCTTCATTTTGTAGATGATCTTGAAAGACGACTCTGGTGGAGCTGCGTGGTTTGCGTTCACCAAGTGCTCGAGAATTGATCGAGTAAATGTCTTGCATTATCCTTTTGCTAACCACACTGGATAATGTCCAGAGACGCGAATAATTATATCAATCACGTCACCTCTTATTACTCAATAATAGACCACTATATATTTTTTGTAAGTATAAATACGACTGTACAACCAGGCTGTGAAGATGATTTCGTCGATAAAGAAAAGAAAATTTTCTCCGCTGAATATTTGTCTTCTATTTTCTACTTTGATTTATCTAAATTTCAATGTGAATTTCACATTACACACTGACAATAGTCAGAGGGTAACTGAAATTAAGATTCAAGAGACATTGGACCGCATTCCAGTGTCTGAATTGGTTATCAAGCCTATCTCGTATTCTGAAGGTCTTGCGATCACCGATAGGCATTGCTAACGAATCTCAGGCTATATATAACTAAACGACTTTTCAGTATCTTCTTGGTTTACAGTGATCCTCCGCCTGATATGTGCATCAGTCGTCGCAGAGGGATAAAATGTTCAACAATCACACTTGAGGTTGCAGTTTGATTCCCCGTTGACGTACACCTAAATCTCACTTGGTCTTTGAGGTATTCCCCAAGAGAAAAAAGGGAAGGTTGATTGTTCAAAACAACACAAGCGCTGTTAAAACTTCCGCTCAGAACGCAGAAGAATGACGACAGGAAAAAACAAAGAGAAAAACTCTACTTGATGAGTCAGTTTGTGACTAAATTTGGATGGATTGAAATCAATGAAATTTCTGCAAATCTGAAATTGAATTTCATTCACGCGTTTATTTGAATTGAAGTAAAAACACACATTTTTTGGTAATTATGAAACTGGCACACTTCATTATTTCATTCAAACGTGTCATGATCCTCATCAAATGAACAGTCAATGCACTTAAATACATAACAGAGTCTTTAGAAGGGTAAATATATCCTGGACCGTGGAAAAATCTCAGTAGAAGTTATTGTGAAGAAGAGTATAATGCTGGTAGTAAAAATTCAAAAACTATCAACTTCAGGAGTCATGATGAAGGTAACCAACCAACAGCAACAGTTGCAACAACAACAACAACAACCAGCACCAATCACCATCAACAGGAGAGATTTAAAGTAAGTTAATTCTTTCACTTATCTGGCTAGGAAACACGGTTTCAACCACAAGCAGTCGGAACGGATAACGATGTCAAAGCCACCCAGAATCGGAAAGGCAAGATACGCCTTCATCAACCTGAAACCAGATTGGAAATCTTCTACCCTCAGCCGACATGAACAACAAGATTCGGATTCCCAACACAAATGTCCAGTCAGTCAGTCACTGCTACTATACGGGTCAGAAACTTAGCCGGCGTGTCACGAAAAGGATATCCAACAGCTTCCATCGCTGGTTCCATACTGAAGATCAAATGGCTAGCTGGCCAGAAAGAATTAACAACAAGAAACTCTGGCAATAAACAAACCAAGAACCGATGGCTCAACAAATATGTACGACAAAATGGAGATGGATCAGGCATACGTTGAGGAGGCCATCGAATGACATCGTGCGCCAGGAGGAGATTGCGCAAGGAGAAGATGACAGACTATGGGTAATCGTGGACCCATGTGAAGAGGACAGCACCAAATAGAACAAAGTGGAGATGTGTTTTTGAAGCCCCATTGTTCCACTGGGAACCCAAGGGAATAATAATAATAATAAGGAATCAAGCACTTAAATGGAAGAGGCAATGCAGACAGGATGTCAAGTAAACATAGAGAAGAAAGACTTAATGAGGACAGTTAACCAACAACACCACCAACAACAACAACAGGCATCAAACACCATCAAGGGGGGAAATTTCACGGGAATCACCACCTCTAGGCACTATCATTATAATTACAGTTGGCAAATATAAAAGAATGTCAAAGGTAAGATCGTAAAAGCAACACCAACCTTCATTAGTGTGAAATCACCAAAATGTTAAGTCAAATCGCTGATTCTATCCGGTTCAGAGACTTCGTAAACGCATTCATTACTGTGATGAAAGCATTTCCAACAGGCCAGCTGAAGACTTCCATTAACAGCTGCCTTTGCTTCATCCTGAAGACTAGAGATGACCAACGAGAAAAAAGATAAGCACTAGGAACCTTTGACAACGAATCAGAGAGGAATTAACCATCCTATAAATACACAGAAGGAACTAGAGATGGATTGGACATGCACGCGCTAAGAAGACCGTTGAAATATATCAAGCGTACATCAGACAGATCCGTCGAGTGGAACCCGTATGGGAAATGAAAAGTTGAACTTGGATCGGACCGTGACGTAGAGAAGGTAAAGCCAGGTGAAAAAAAGACCGTAGAGGACAACAGAGTAAAGTGGGGATGTTCTGCTGAAGCCTCTGTGTTCTACTTGGAGCCCAATAGAACAATAATAATAATAAAGAATAATAAATAACTATTACTTACACGTTCAACTAAACCTTCTAAATCACCTAGACCTAACAGCTTTTGTACAAATGGTTGAACTCTAAACGGTTCAAAATCTTCTATATGTTCACCAGTTCCAATAAATGTAATTGGACTGTGTGTAGCTGCAACTGCACTTAAAGCACCACCACCTGTTAATTTAAAAAAAAAAGAAAAAACAACAAATTAATGAATAGAAATCAGTTAAATGAGTAGAAAAACACAAGAATCGGTAATCCATTGTCTTTATATACATACAAGTCTTAGACACTAAGAATGAATGCCTTCTAGTGACTTGGTGAGGTTATTATTTAGAGACAAATTCTTGCACGTCATTCTTTCCTAAAAGAGGTTGACTTTAACCTGAATGTCTTCGTGTCATTATTACTATTGTCTCCTTTAGTTCCTAGTTCAGTCGGACGTCTGCATTTCGTTCAGTTCTCCGCCAACGTTTTCACCTGGCTCCACGTCTGCCCACATGCTTTCATTTCCTCATCACATGACCTCCTCCATTTCGTCCCAACCTCGCACTGACGACCAACTAACTCACCGCTTCCCATTTGGATTCCATTCGAGTGATGTCCTGTCGTGTCACGTCACTTCATGGTTTTCTCAGAGTATGGGCAGTCCACCTCCATTTCTTCCTGCTTATTTGTTGCACCATCGGTTCCTGGTTGGTTCGCTCCCAGAGATCCCTGTTGCTGATCTTTTCTGGCAAGCCATCTGATCTTGAATAGTATTGAGCGAAGACAGCTGTTTATGAAGATCTGTAGTTTGTTCGATGTGGCGTTAGTGACGCGGCGTCAAGTCACTGATCCGTACAGTAAGTAGCACTGACTTCACATCGAGTTGAAAATCCGGATCTCATTTTCATTTTCATGCTGAGTGCTGTTGACCTCCACACAGGCTTCAGAGTAATGAAAGCTTGCGTTGCTTTCAAGATCCTAACTTTGATGATATCCTCATCCCTTCAGTCCGCCTGTAGTTGAAACGATGCTTCCCAAAAAGATAGGTAGGTGAAGGAGGTTGCTTCTCTCAGATTTCGCCCATTTATGCTGATTGCAGTCTGGTGGTGGTGGTGGTAGCGTCGCTGTTCTTTATCACCTGGAGTCCTATGTTTGAGACTTCTTCTTCTATCGCCAACTTGTTGCTGCGCCTCACTTGCATATCTTCCAGTTTGTGGGAAATCAGACATATATATCACATCGGCGAAGTCCAGATCCTCCAAGTTTCTGTGTGGGTGCACCCATTTTATGCCTGTTTCCTCGTTGCCCGACGGGTTGTCTGTCGCATTATCCAGTCTACTGCAATCAGCAAAATCATTGGGGATAGTAGGCAGCCAGCCAACCAGCCTTGTCTTACTCCCGTCTTGGTGTACTAAAGACTAATAGCTACCACTTTTGTAACGACCAAAGATGTCATACTTGTTGGAATAGTTGTTTCTGGTAGTTCAATCTTATTACACACTTAGCAATAAGAGTAAAGGCCACTTCAGTCAAAGTATAAGCTGATAACACTAGAGTGAATGTCACGGTTACTACTCAAAGTATTGTCATGCGGTTATCTTATCTGTTCATCACCTAAACCTTTACTACTCCATGGAAGACATGAAAAGGCTGGCTGTCTTTTACTGTAGGTGTCTGCCTTCTATCTCCCGTATTAGGCGGTATAATACGATGAGTAATATTGAAGTTAGGCGTCAAGTGTGTCAGGTAAGGAGAGGAAGTGAATCGATGAGGTTGTGAATTTACATTGATTGAGATGAACAGGACATGTGTTACGCATGATTAACCATCACCTTCCTCGACAGGCGATGTTACCTGACATTGAATTAGGTTGGAAAAGAGAAAGTTAGTGGTAGTCAAACCAAAACACAGATTCATCAGTCAGTTAAATCCATGACAGATCGTTTAAACCAGCCAGTCAGCCACGTAGGGAGGTGTAAACTGCCTGGTTGGAGTGCTCAGGTTCCTAAGAATCAAAGTCAGGAGGCAACTAATGATATGGCTGGAAATCGTTTTTAATGAATACGGCAGATATACATTCACTCCTTTTGATCGCCATATATCCTTCTAATTTCTGCTTATTAATGGTTCGTTCGAATGTCTTTCCTCCTCTCTTTTATCTTCCTTTGTGTGTTACATGGAAAGAGTGAACTGACTGACTGGACTGGTTTCAACATAGAACTTGGCACCAACGTGCAGCAGTTCGAGTCACCACACTCCATGTAGCACACGAAAAAAGAGAAGAGAGTAAAAGGAAATGCAAAGTAGAGACAGCAAACAGAGACATGAGGCAAACAGAATAGTAATATCGAACAACAATATAGTTTTATTGGGTATTATAAGTCACAAGGAGTGGATGCCATATCACCAATTGTCTCCAGCCTTCACTGGTTTTTACCGTCTCGAGGACCCTAACGAGGAAGTCTACACTTTCCTACGTGACTGCCTTAAACGAACTGTTGTGGATTTCACTGACTGATGAAGCCATTTTTTTTTGGTTTGACCACCACTGGCTCTTTTTCAACCTGATCGATCCGATGTCAGCTAACATTGCCTTCCTCGACGAGAGAGAGAGAGTGGCCAGTTGAACTGGTGCGTACTTCTGTGCGAAGTTGTTCTATGTCAAAAGTCACTCACTCACCCACTCAATCAATCAATTTTTAAATAAAAGAAAACAGTGTATCTCATAGATTAAAAAAAATAAAGAGCTCACCTTTAGCATGACCATCTAATTTAGTGACAATAACTGATGATACATCTACTTTAGCTTTGAATGCACTAGCCTGTGCTTCACACGCTTGACCAATTGATGCATCCAACACGTATATCACATGATCTGGTTCAATAGCATTTGAAACCTTTTGAATAAACACCAAATGTATTGGTTATATTAATTGTTGCTAGATGTAATAAAACAGTTATGTAACAACACAAAGAAATACGTAATAAACAGTCTCCATTAACTGATACTACTTCTTCACCATTTGTTTCGCATTCCTTCACGTTCCCAGTGGAACATAGGGCTTCAAGCTAGAGGCTTGAAGTTTCTGTAGCAGTGGAGTTGCTAGCTTCATGCCAAACCTTTTCTCTTTACTAGTCTTGTTGATGGTTTAGCGAGCTAAGGGAGTGCGTCGGTCGGGGATCGAACCTTGGGCCGCATGCGTGGTTGGCGAGCATTCTACCGCTGTGCCATCTGCGCACACTTCTTCACCATAGTAGAAGTAAAAAGGGAGCTACGATATAAAAACCATTGATTGTTACTCTGTGCCAATATCTGATGGCATCTCGAGCTACTACTGAGTTGCAAGACCTTTTTGATCCCACACAGGGGGTCGTAACACACAAATAGATACAAATAAGTGTCTCATAGTCCATGGCATCACACTATGAAGTAGCCACCTGTGAATGTGTCTTCCAACCAGGTGGGGGAGGGGAAGTCAATAGTGAACAGGTTGGATAACATTCACAGCACATGTTCAAACCAATGAAACCACTATTTTAGAAGAAGATATCATGTATTGAAAGATGACATTTGCCTTGTCGAAAAACTGCACCACTGAACTTTAGAATTGTTTTATTTGATGTCATTATCAGTTGTCAAAAATTTTATAGAGACAGTAGATAGTCAGACAGGCAAAGTTGCAGCACGTTTATGAAATGAAGACGTCAGGTTTCATAGACGTAGATAAAGACTGAATGAAAATGAGGCTAACACTATATGGGCCATAGAGCTGGGTTAGATTATCACACAGGCCGATTCGCTACACTCCTACCAACATTCACATAAGTACCTGGATAGGTAGACTTTCCAATTACTTTTAAGCACACTGTTTAGAGAAAGAGATAAGACGTAATTTCTTTGAATCATGTATTGTGTATTTGCACAACGCATTTCGAACAATCTGATCACACACACACACACGAACTTGTCATAGGAATACATATAAAATCAATAAAGGGTTAAGAGGTGAGAAAATAGACTACTTAGGTCAAGTTAAAAGGACATATCGAAAGTCAAAATAACAATGATCACTAAACCAGATAAGGGAGGTAATAGTACACCTACCCTGGCTAGTATCAAAATAAAGTTTACCAAGCAAGTATTAGTGTGATGACGAATTGTTGGTTTGATCGCATAAAGGTGGTTTAAACTTCCTAATTGCCAGCTGGGGCTTCCACGTTTTATAGATAAGTTCAAAAGACGTGTAAACAACAATAGCATGTTCTGCCTCTATAACATGTTTAGTAATGAGTCGTCTATTCTAACCGTTAATGGGTTCTGGAGATTCAATTTGCAGAGATGTATGAGTCCTTCCTATGTATGTGTCCACACGTACATTCAAATTGGTAAATACAGTGGGATGTGACATCATCTTTTTGCATTTTTAAAGGGCTTACATGGATGTATTGGCTTCACATTCTCAATTATTCTGATCTTAGCTGCATAATAAGTCTTCTTAACAGCAGCATTCAATCTCTGTCGAGTTACCAAGATGGTGTGATTACCCAGGCATAGAGTAGCTTGATATGTATGTCTTTCTTAGTGGCGACTTGAAGAGTGGGTCTTGGTGTTCTCAACACTTTATATCTCCTTATGAACTCGTCTAGATAATTATTGTCAACCAGAGTTTGTGTCATTTTTCTTACTTCCTCGTCAAGTGTGTCTTCAGTGAATATTCGTTGGATTCTACTGAAGAGGCACCTCACTAGCTCTGTATTGTACTGAACAGGGCAGAAACTGTGACAATTAAGATACTGTCTTGCTCAGGTAGGTTTTCTATAAAAAGATAGTTTTATTAATCGACCAAGCCATCAACTAGGCAGTATATTTAGGAAAGAAAAAGTTATCTTCCTTTTCTACAGACGTAAATGATATGCTTGCTATTCTGAACTTCATTCACTCAATTTAGACAAATAACGTCTTCGTATTGTTTTGTCTAAATTCATAATGAGAAGTAATTGTTTTTATAAAATGTTCCATGAGAACACTCCCTCCACATACTATCAAAAGGCTAAATGAACTTGTTAACCTAAGGTGTAGAATTATCGTCGAATCCGAAACGGTGGAATTTTATGAATTATGTATTAAAAATCATTCTTATATTGTTGTTTACAAGCATATTAAATGTTCAAATGCGGCAAAGCATAGTGAATTTGTAATTAACAATCATACTACAAGGTAAATCGTTGTGTTCCCCATAGATAAAGTCTTACATAGAGCATAAGCTATGCTGTACATTATAGTATACCGCATTTTTAGCTACCTGACCGATAGCTGCTAGTTTGACGTGGTGGTCGGGCTTGCATATCGCAATGACCCAACAAGCTACACTGGCTGAAACTATTGTTCCTGCAGGTCCTACCATGCCAGGAAGGTTGTTAGGACAGCGATTAGACTAAAAGCAGTTACCGGCATAGTGTAAGAATTGTTTTTACACTATGCTGGGGGGTCTGTGGGCAAAGTTGTACTACTGGGGAACAGGGATGTAACAGCAGTAAGGTGTTTCCCCCAGATGACCGGCATGCCAGAGACTATGCTGCCTCTCCACTCTGGAGAGAAGAGGTTAGAAAAGGTCGACCCCAACAATTGTACATCCCGACTTACCCTACAGTGGTCCGTAACCGGTGGTAAGTTCACTAATACGGAGCCAATCCAAGAAACCACTTCATACAGGCCGTGTGTGACCGGCCTCAAGTAGTTGTCCCTTGGGCTCTGCGGTCACGCAACACTAACCCTCATTCTGTTTCAGGTACCCGAAGAGTCAGCCAACTTCCACGGTTTGGGTAGCCGGGAAGTAATAACCTCCCACATACTGCAAAAAGCACACTTCTAAAAGCACACAGTTCCAAAAAGCACACAAAGCCTTCCTGAGCATCTATTTGTAGTTAAATAGAAGCAACTAGACACGACGCACTGAACACCTGTCTAATACAAAAGTCACTGTTTTAGACTTTATAAAGTTAATTAAATAACTCATCTGAAAACCTCCATCACAGTCGTTTAGTAGGGGTTTATATATGTGTGATTTCGATGGTTGCCATAATATTTATCTTGCATATCAACGAATTACCTGTACTCGCTAACCGAATCCCCCATGATCCTCCATGAAGATGGAGAGAGCTTAAGGATGCTAATGGTCCAAAGAATGGATGCTGAGAATCAACACGTAGCGAAGCGCATATCCATACGCATTGGACACTCTAAGCGTCAGCTCATATGAGCTAAAGGGAACAACACTCCCATCAGTCAGTTCAGATTTGTTTGAACTTAGGCGTCATAGTAAGTTACGACTAAAGAACTACACAGCACACTGTCGAGTTGTGGCATCTCGAAGTTTTAGATTTTTAAGAGCAATATACGCGGAGCGTTTACTGGAATCATCGAAGATATGTTCACTTCCTTGCGTGCATTTTTGGTGAGGTCAAAACTGGAAATATCCATTCAGTCAGTTCTTGTCTTAAGGGGGACTCATACATTCGAAAAAGGTTCAAAAGAAGGTAACACGTATGATCCTTGCCATGACCAATTTATAATACGAGGAAAGATTACACAGTTTAAATCTCTCCTCCATTATCATACCTTAGACAGAGAGATCTTATTACGCCATTTAAAATTCTAAATTATGTAACTACGGACCTAATCTGTTTTCTCTTTTCCTCCCCTACCAGGTCGGAACACCTCAGAGAACATATCAAGAGAGTTCGAAAGCCAAGGAGGAACTATATCGTTGTGGAGTACTAGTTCTCACACCGAGTCATCAACTCCTGAGACCAACTTACAGAAGAGGTGGTGTCAGTCCCTTCAATTCGCCGATTCAAAACAAGTTTAGACAAGCATAGAAACTTGTTCTAAAGGGATTAACACAGGCTTCAAGCCTTCTGTTCTCAATCAATAAGTCGGAATCTGAATAATAAACAGTATCAGTAAGAACTAAAACTAAAAACACTGCATAGGTCACCTACATCAGAAGTGGCACCACAAGATCAGGATGAGCTGACCTCTACTAGACAATAATAACCTTTTAAATGGAGTCTGTGTGATTAAATATAACATGTAATATACAATACAATCAGACAGAATTCCAAGTTAAATCTAGTGGTGATTACGGTGTATTTTCTGTCCGTCATCTTTAATGCCTACGAATGTACTGTTACTTTGTATGTCCTATTTCTTAGTGCTCAAAATAATTACGAAGATTAAATAAAAGTTATCAGACGAAGTCTAAAACACACACACACAGTGATTAAAACGACAGTGACAATAGAAAATTAAAGTACCAACCTGAAGCATTTCCTCAAACAATGAATCTTCTTGTCTATGTCGACCACTAGTATCTACGATAATGATTTCAAATTTTTCATCTGAAAATTTCTGCACACCATCTCGTGCAATAACAACTGGATCAGTTTCAGTATAAGAACCATAAAACGGGATTCTAGCCTTTGTAGCATTTTGCTTCAACTGGTCAAAAGCACCAGCACGAAATGTATCTGCACAAATCATACATGTTTTCCATCCTTTTCTTTGATAAAAGTAGGCCAATTTCGTGGCGGTAGTTGTTTTACCACTACCCTGTAAACCGACTAACATAATCACATTTGAAGAACCTCTTGACGGTTGCCAAGCTTTAACTTGTGGATCGACCAAATGAACTAATTCTTTGAATACAGCCGATTGGATTATTTTACGCTTATTTAATCCAGCTGCCATTTCATCGAAATCAATCACTGCACGAACATTTTCTCGTAATTGTTTAACCAGACGAATATTTACATCGGCTTCGATTAGAGCAGTGCATATCTCTTTGAGTAGACTGTTTAAAACATCTTCATTAATTATTGTTGCATTGCCCAAAGATCGAAGGGCAGAAGTTATTTTCCTTCCTAATTCTGCTAACACCATTTTTTAGATCTGAAATTGTGATAGTTAAAAATTTTAAAGCAGAATTATTTTCAAGGATACTTCCGTCAGTAGTGACACTCACAATTGCTGTTTATCATTTTACACAGATTGGTCTACTTGTGACTATTTTGCAGAAAATGTACCTACTTTCGAACAAACTGAAATAACCAACGATCTAAACTTATGTTGGAACTACTGAAGATCCCAATATACTGTCAAGTACCTTAATATAGTCAGTTATTTAGCATAATAGTTTTACAGCATAATAAATAATGTCATATTACTGTTAGATAAGACGAATTAGTCTCTAATGGTATTTTTTGTGGAACTGTTGAGCTGTGAAGAGAGACAGAACCAGGATAGAATGTTATTAATATTATTACGTAAAATGATAATATTTAGTGTTACGCAACATTGCTTTGGGCTTGCTTTATACAGGCCAGTGCTAAGGGACTAATCCGTCCCAACTCTTGATCTAGGAATAAAGAGTGAGATGATCAAATGGGTTGACTACGTTGCAGATTTGGGAAATCTTATCAGACTAAACGAACAGGGTACCGGCGAAACTCAGGACTCTCGAAAATAGCTCTGCAAGCATTTTCGATTCGCATCACCTACATTGTCTACCTTAAATCTGGGTACGTATTTGACGATGAGTGTACTACGCTGAAATGCATTCCTCAAAAATTATACCTTAAATAAAATCAATAAAAGCATGTGGTGAAAATCCCCTAGTTTTAACTATAGAAGTGCTTTAAATAATTAAGGCACATCATCCAAGGAGGTTCTGTCTGAATCACTGAGCTACCTGAATTTCCATGCAACACAATGAATAAAGTGTTTTTATTATTTCAATCATTCAACTATGTCTTTGGGTTGCAAACTGTAGTCACGCACACTTTTAACTGCGTTTGAAACTAATACTGTAAATTTCTCAGAGACGAAGGATATATATAAGGGATTGGTTTATGCCGGAGATCTGGAGAAGTTAAAAATGTGGCTACCTCGCCGATCAACCTTCCCACAGACCACGAACAACTTATCAGAATTAAGGAGCAACAGAATTTGTCAAACTGTCTAAAATATGACTGCAGATCATAGTGTTTTGAGACTGATTGGTATTTCTGACTCGGTTTCTTAATTTTCTCCAAAATCTCAATCCTCCATCAAAACCAGATGTCTTAGCTTCCTCGAATAAGCATGTTTTACTCACTAAAGTGAATTCATCATTCACATGATAAACAAACATTCCATCTCCTTGGAACTAGTTAGGCGAACCCAGAACGCAAGACAAATAATTATTTGGGGAAGCACATGATGATATGACCGTAGATTTTCATAGAGATGTTCTTTCCGACAATTTACTCGTATCATTTGGTTAAGCATCCAGATAATAAGCCTTTATATCAGCTACTCATAAGTTAAAAACGAACAACTTCCTCTAGGAATAAAAATTGTTAATTCATGAATTAACAATTTTTATTCCTAGAAGAATATGCATATACCTAAGAATAACTTCAAGATGAATACGCACTACACAGCATGTTCAGTGTAAATACAAGTGTCAAAAGCAAAAGAGATATGACAGCTAACTGGTAGAGGGCAACTACTCTGAACGACATTCACGTTATTATGATATATACTACATAGACTTTTAAAGTGCACTTAAGGAAATATTGGATGAAAATACGACGCTGGTTATCAGCAAAACTAAGTGAAATTTACTGAGTAGCGTCTCTGACAAAACGCCGAGTCATAAAAAGTGAAAAAAATACCACCTTGGCTAATATTATCGCCAACTAACGTTTGCACCGTATAGTTTATAAAGTCCGCACTTCCAATTCAATTGATGAAGGCAACTAAAATAATATTTTTCACTAGCAATTAATATATAGGGAAATATCATGGCCAAACAGTTTATGATTTCATTTGCAATGGCACCTTTAACACTGGATATTAACTGGTAATAAAGTTACAGAGAATTCTCACGGAGAGTTGGATTTATGCTTGCACTAGCTCTTCCCGTCCACAGTGGATGCTTTGAAAGAACTGATGAAAGTTGTCAAAATGAAATTGTATGTTAGAAAATCCTGGTAGTTCTTCATTCGATGTGAGAAAATGGCATCCAAACATAGGCGCTTCGACCATATGTTTTGAACTTTGGAGAATGTCATCTGCCCTATAGTAGGAAACCTTCGACAAAATTTTGGCACCCAGATCACTATTAAAGACAGGCAATGTTAGTATAAGGTCATCATTCACCTAGTGATGTGATAGCTGCAATCAGTCCAGCCGATTCAACCCTTTCTTAAATCACAAATTTCAAATTCTTTTGATCAGTTTAGTGCCAAAAGCTTTGAATTTTTCCAATGAGTCTGCCTTGTACTCATAACGTGGGATGCTTGCAAAATGTCATATTCCAAATAAGGTCTAATGAGTGCTTGAGATGTCACTATATATACAGCGGCTGCTCTGTCGCTTGCTGTGATATTCAGATCACGTCTAACAACCATTCCTGAGTCATTATTCTGTGCCACCATTGGCATGACAAATTTTTCAGTCATCAAATCCCCACCGCAATATAATTGACATGAACAACTTTAGGATATTCAACTCTTCCATGTATTAAAGTTCAATTTATTACTTGTCTTCCGTAAAAGTTAATCACTATTCTCAGAGAATACTTAGCTAACTTTATGAATCCCAGCGGTATGCATGTCTGTGAAGAAACAGTTAGAAAAGAATCAAGCGACCAGCTCGCTGATTGATCAGTCTAAGTTAACTGACATCTAAATACCACTAACCGTTTCAATGCCTCCATATATGACAAGTTTAGTTGTTGTTACACACAGTGATATGGTGCCAATAACCTCCTGTTCACACTGAACCACTATAGATTGTAGATCATAGATGTTGATTATACGGAATTATATTCACCTCAGTACCATATGTGACCTAAGCTATGGGATGCTTGGTATTCTGTGTAACTAAGACTCAATGATGCTGGTGAACCAAACAGATACTAATGTTGACCATAGGAACGATGCGCTAGAGGAAGTCATTAAATACTCTGAGTGATGAAATCAATCATTCTGTGGTAGAAAATTTCTAACAATGTGGTTACAACTAAACAGTATCAGCACTTCAGTTCGGTCTCCTAAGTAGGAAATTGTCCATTACTAGCTAGTTAGACTCACAGGTAATGAGCACTCACCAGCCAATTCGATTATGTATGTAGTAACCGTATACCCGAACGACTAAGCACAAAAACTCTACAATACCTTATTTCGACCAAATCGTGTGTGATGAAAAAAGTGTGAGGCAGAGAAATACAAACCTAGCGCAGAATTTTTAGCAAGTAGCTCTATTTTTTCATAATAACATTGATGTTAATATCATTACTTAATTTAATTTTATACTGATACTCTTACTGGACAGTATTATCAGTGTGAATGTTCTGCTTTAATTATTACTCCTGTAATGAGAAAACTAGATGCAGTAATGTACCACATGCTGAAAATGCCATATTTGTATCAAAAAGTACCATCTGGAATATAGTTTTTTTTAGAGTGCGTTCGTAAAATTTCAAATACTAGATTCTTCGCAAACTCCCACTACAGGGAAAACTGGAGAGCTCCTCATCGGGATGAGTTCCTTTCTTGTCAAGACAGGACAAATGGTCAGATCTAAAATTTACAAATAGCATAGTTTTATGGCCATGTAAGACACCAAAGGATGTGTGATTTCAGCAATGAAAACATCAGTAATAGAAGTATAACCCAATGAGACTTAAGCTAGGTGACTGGAGTGAAGAGTTGCAACTAGCCTTCGCTGCAGATAAGTAGGTTACAGCCTACTGCGGGTGTTGGAAACCTAGCATACACTCCTATGTGTACGGTGACCCCCTCTCAAATCTTGACACAGTCATGAGTCTTGTCCTAATGTATTCAGATTTAGCATCCCGTGACCACTCCAACAGGATTGTAGTCGGCTGTGAACAAATTCCCAACCTCATTACGAGAAACTTCCACACTTCAAATGACAGGTTGGCTGACTACCTAACACGTACTTCCCCAGAAATTTGTATACTGCGCTGTCCCTTGTAGGAAATTGAAGTCCACAGGCCGAAAAGTCGAAACCATCCTAAGATTCAACATGAAACACGTAATAGGGTTTGGCCAGAAAATAGGTTATGTTGACAGATGCGAAAGGTACTGATGGTGTTTCTGATAAGCTGTACTTTACCAGCCCTAGCTTGGCGTAATTTACCTATATATCCAATAATTCATACTCTAACTAACCTGTAAGTGCTGACGACAAAATGCAGAATAAAAAGACTTAGTTATTAGGGAAATTTGCGTATTTCCGCAGTATGTCTGAGTAAAACAACAGGTAAGCATTATCCAAAGAAAAAGGTCTAGATGTTATCTGACCAATGTGGCTACATTGCAAACTCAAGGAATGTGCGCGTTGGCAGAAAAACGGAAGAGTGCGAATTGGCGTTAGAGACTATCTGTATATGTAAAAATTGCAACGATGGGAAAACGAAGTGCAAATAATTTTTTCACCTGAAAATTACCAGATAACACTACAACAGCAGCTGGCCCAATGTGTTGAGCTGACCTTAGACCATACTATTTACGCAGTCACGGCTACATTACTATAACCAACAAATAGCCGGGGAGACATTTTTCGCTATAAATACAGTAACCTCTAGAGGGAACCACTATTTAAAGTTAAGTCTTGCCAAGGCGCTCAGAGGGTTCATACGGGGTCTGAATAGACACATTTACCTGCCCTCCTTAGTTCATGTAAGGGATAATTACTAATATAAGAATAGAACCTGGGCTTTGTAGTCGACTAAAATTTTTTCATGGGGGAAGTACATTTGATAAAGTTCCACAATGTTATACAATGATATTATTTATCAGTAAATACCACTGTATGACATTGTGAAACTTTATCAAATAAATGGGATGTAAACCAGTCTTCATTTAGGCAATCAGATGGTTGCAGTTTTAGGCATGATCAACTGCGTGGCATAATCCAGCAACCAAAGGTACGAAAATGACCGTCTTTCCTTGCGCTTGGGATACTACCAGTCTGCTTCTCGTTCTAGATATCTTCCTATACATAAGTAAAATTCGTTTATTCATTCTTGTCCATAAGCGGATTGCGTGTAATTAATTCATGAAAAATCTCTGCAGCTACTGCAGCCACTTTATGTCCTACTGTTGAGAGTAGAATTAGCCACATCCTGTAAGCGAATTCCCATCTTCGGACAACTGCATGAAACGCAAAATTTCAAATGCGCTTCGAAAGATCATTCTGATAGCATAAGTAGATGGATTATTTCAGTGTGCAGTACACTAAATGAAAATAGTGATGAGAATTTGCAGAATCATTTTTCAAGTGCTGGTTTGCAGGGATTTGATCAGTCACAGGTTTGATCACGATTTAAGTTACAGAATGGTTGAAAAGCAGAAAGTACTGGACACCTGTTTCCTCCCACCTGTGGACTCTTCAGCAGTGCACATCCATAGGGGGTCGAAGTCGGGACCTTCAGGCTGAAACGCGAGCCTTGAGGCCCCTCAGCGATTGGAGTTTGATCCAGCGGTTCGTGACTTCTAACTG